TTCCAAGTCAAAAAAATTACCATAATTAACACAATGAAAACATTGCCATGCATACTGCGACATAAATGTTGTACAAACGTACTGAAATATAAATGTTGTCAAAGTGTTGTAATGGCAGTTCTAGAGTTCAAAATTGTGTAAATATTTACGTGAAAGAACAGGTAAATAACTCTGTCTTACTAATAGATAAGTAACTCGTGATAGATTGATGAATAAAGGATTCACAAAAATCTATACGAGAAATCTAATACTCATTTTAAATTCATTTTAAATCCCTATTTTCTTTGGTTTGAATAATTTTATTTTTTGGATGAAATTCATTTTTGATGTTTCATTCGATGATATTTTTGGCAATTTAGCACTAAAACAGATTTATATTTCATCAATACAATAATACAATATCGTTTCTTCGTTGAATTTGAAAACTCTCGTTCAGTTTTTTTGTTTAATCTTTAATCAGAATGAGTAATAAATTTAAAATTGTAATTATTAATAAAGATGGAAAGGTGAACTTTGGATTAAAAAGAAATTATGATTTCCTCTATTTTATTACATTCCTATCCTAAACTTTATTTTGAAATGCTTGTGAATGATTTGACTGAATGATAATTAATTTAATCATAAAATAATTTAATGGAATCAAAAGGAAACCCAATATTTGTGTTATAATTAAATGGAATATTGAAATGTTTTCGATTTTTCATCCGATCATTTTTAAATCACTAAAAAATAAAATCATTCGCAACATATTATTACTTTTTTATTTTATCTTTAAAGAATGATGATGCTACTTTTCTTGCTATATATTTGTTCAAAATTAATTAAACTATCTGAAAAATTTAAATTAAGCAAATTTTCAATTTTAATATTCTAATGAAGAAATCTTCGAAAATGCAAAAGATATTTACACAATTTTATTTTTGTAAACAAAATAATTATAATTTAAATAATTGTAAACAAAATAATTATAATTTAAATAGTTGTAAACAAAATAATTATAATTTAAATAATTGTAAACAAAATAATTATAATTTAAATATATAATAATGCATCAAAACTGAAAGCAAAGTTTTATCATTTCAAAATAAAATAACAAATCAAATGCTAATCAAATGCTTATTCATTTTGAAATGTAGCATAGTTTAGTTCAATCCAGTCTAATTTATCATTCGTTATTCATTTTTATCACACGCATACTATCATAATATTAATTCTAACAATTTTAATTCTTACAACTTTTATTAATCAATTTTAAATTCTCTCAAAATATTCATAAAAAATATGCAAATTAGTTGAAGCGATAAGATAATTAAAAAAAAATTCGTCATTAAATTAACATGTTATCCATTTAATGTGTATTTGATAATATGAAAAAAGAATTTTGATAAGAATTAACTTTATTGAAGAGAAAGAGAGAGAGAGAGAGAGAAAAGTAACATTGTTTATTTACATTTCTTAAATTCTCGAATTACAAAAAATGGATAGTAGAAGAAGAAGAAGTAATTCTTCTGGTTAATCCATTTATTCCATCTTTCCTATTTGACTAAATATAAAACATATAAATTTTTATATCTTTACAATTACAATATTTTAAATTACTTGCAAAATTTTTATTATTAAAATTGTTTGTTTTATTTGTTCATTATTTATTCAACTAATTATGTAAATGAAAAGACAAAATAATTTAACAAAATTACTAATTACTAATTTTTTTTACGGTAAATAAATTAGCAACAAAAATTTCATTTGTTAGAAATGAAAATAGTTAAAAATAAAAAAATGTATTGTGATAATAATTTAATAGTTAAGAATTTTATTGTTAAGAAAATTTCATTATCAATTTATTGTGATAATAATTTAAGATTTATTAGCTAATCGATAATATTATTCCTTGTTGTATGTAAAGATGTGATAATCATATTTTATTGCATTTAACTTTTCCGTAATATTTTTATTTTCATTTATAACAATGAAATTTGATGTTGCTAGTTTATCAATCGAATAAAATTAGTAATCTGTTAATTTTATTCAATTATTTTCCGTCTTCTTCTACATAATAATTTCTTATCACTTATTATCATTATATATTTACTTATGATATTTCGAATTCTTTTACATAATAATTTCATACCATTTATTATCATTATATATTTACTTACGATATTTCGAATTCCTTTACATAATAATTTCATATCATTTATTATCACTATATATTTACTTATAATATTTCGAATATGTTATAATATTTCGAATACATTATATTCATTTTTTTCACTTTTTAAGTAAAATTTATCGTCCAAAATTTAAGTGCAAACTAATAAATTAACATTCAAATGAAATAAGCAAATATTTTTCTTTCTAATTTCTTCTCTCTAAATTCACAATACAATTAATTTTGGTAAACAAATACGAAAAAGGATAGTGTTTATTTTAATTGTTTTAATTTAGAAAGTAAGGATTTTATCAGAGAGCCATTGATCTCCATGACAATGAATTAATTGAGACAATTTCATCAATTATCAACACTTGTCAACGCATTTACTCTTTGTTGTTTATATGTATACTAATAGAAATCAATTGACGTTATCAGCATATTTCAGAAATTATCAGATTATCACCTTACTTATCTTATGTAAATGGTTAATTTGTCCCATGGTCCATTATTTTCCTATTAGTGATTGATTTGACCCATCATCAATTCTATCATTTATCATTTCATGCTAAGCTGCCTCTTACATTATTCAAGTAAAATTCCAAACATTTCAAATACACAGTATTGCATACTGTGTATTATTTCATTCTAATGAGGCGCTACAAATCCAACAATTCATATTTCTTATCATATGGTTTTGACTGATTTGATATGCATCAATGATAAGATTCAAAAAAATATTTGAAGAAGCGTTCATATCAATAATATACTTCAATATCTTTTTTTGAATGTGATCCTAAATTATCATGGATAAGAAGGAATGTATATTAAAAATTAAAAATTGTAAAGCTATGAATTCTTACGTGGAATTTTAATATGTCTATTATCTACGATACATAATGATCATTGATAATCCGTTCAATGCCTCTCTATAACATTACTTAACCATAATTCATATCATTTTTAACTATGCATTGAAAAAAGAAATAAAAACATTCATCTTCTTTTAAATCAAATTATAAATTCCTAACATTAAATTTCAATTAATGCTTAAAATAGCACTGATGAATGATGGAGAGAAAGAGAAACTTTCTGAAGAGATATTATCATCGAAGAAAAAGTGCTGTATTTTCAATAATTGTTTATGTGCCTCTTAAACATCTTTTTTTAAAAAAAATGCTTTAGATTGAAATATTGACTGCTCACCAAAAGTTTCAATATAAAATATTGCTTAACTGCATCGGTGAGCAATCCTTATGTCATATCTATATCGATCAGTTGAAATTTATTATTCAATGAAAAAGTTTGGAAATCATATAAATTAAATGAAAGACTGTAATTCATACATGTGATTAAAATTATTTGAAGACAATTCTGACATCATCTTCTCGACTTCTGAATCTTCTTTATCTCCTGCAGAATTTGCTAGCTTATCAGAAATAATAGTGATAACGAGTCGGAAATTAACAGCAAGCAATTTAAGTATTAGAGTTGTGGTCTTTATATCGTCGCTATTTTTAACTCATGTCTATTGAAATCAACCTGACTTCAATCCTTCATAAGTTTTTCTACCATCAGCATGAGCTTAATTTACCTTCATAGATAGGTGAAAATGAAATAAAATAGCTGTAGAAACTGTTTAAACAATTACAACGAACTTTTGGAATATTATTGCATATGAAATTTTTTAAATTTTCAACAGCAACAGAATTTCGAATTTTTGAATTCAAGTGATTTTATCGCCGTTCTGCAATTTAAGCACCTGTTTGTTCGAGCGGTTTTATCGTCATCTGCAATTTAAATACCCAATTAATAACCATTGTTATGAACAACGAAGTAGTGAGTTGATTTTGACTTATTTAGCTTATTCATTTTCATTTGACAAAACTTTAAAACAGAAAAATTTTTGTTAAACATAGACAAAAAAATCGACGTATGAATTTATCATAATGAGATATCAATGTACAGGAAAAATTTGATAGAAAATAACAAATAAAAACATTGCAGAATGATGAGAAGAGGGTAAAAAACTTAGAAAAAGAAGTAATTTTCATTTACTAATAATTAAATAAATTTAATTAAATTTTATAATTAGTAGAGTTTCTGTTTTCTTGCATCCTAACTTTTCATTTCTTAATAGCGGGAAGAAAGAAGTATTCAAAGATATCTTTAAGACGTAATCGTTTCTAATCTCTTAATTCAAACTCTCTTCTCTTTCATTATCATCGTATTGAAAAACATATATCATTCATTAAAAATTGCCGTTTAGGAAATAATTTAAAATTCAAACGAAATCGAAAAGTATTGCAACAATAAAAAACAAAACATTTGAGCATCCTTAAATATATCTGTTAACATAGCTGAATAGTACAGTCCACCTGAAACTTAATATTCAATAATTATAAGGTGATTTCATCATTACAGTGAAATTTATTACGTGTAAAAGAGATCCGAAAAAAGATAAATTTTTGTATGTTCAATAAAATTTATGACATTCTTCCGGTTAACTGCAAATAAGGAAAATTATGCATTTAATGGTAATATTTTAAATCTGTCGACTTGTTATTTTTCACACTGACCTATCAATGATTGTATTTATGGGTCTACATGAGTGGAAAAATATTGCTATACTTTAAGGAAATTAAAAAGTCCAATGCCATAAAATTTGATTGTAATTTCGAGCTCATAACCGCTTAAAAATATTATTAGATGGATTCATCGCCTCGAAATTCATCTCTGAATGTAATGACCTTGGATGTTAACTTATCAAAACATGATATGAAGACATTAGTATAAATTAGGATGTAAAGATAACCAATAACTACTTTAATCAATAATTTTAATTCAATCAATTGTCCAATTGTCCACTTGTCGTAAAATGCCGCCGTTGTGGATTTTCTTTTTCCACTGTACTTGCTGCCACTTCCACGGCACGAGTCTTTTCCAGATCTATTTTTGTGTAATTTACATTAGATGCTATGCCAATAGATGCTAAATCGTTACGTGTATTGGACGAATTAGCTCTGAAATACATTCAATAGCAATACTTTACATCTATTAACTTGTTATTCTTGACACCTATCAATGATTATATTTATGAACCTACATGAGTGGAAAATCATTTCTCTGCTTTGTAGAAACTAAAAAGTTTTACCGCTGATCACTGAACAAAACCTGAACAAAACCGTTTGTCGTATTGTTTACATAATACGAATTAATACCTGACAGCTGTGGATGAACCTTCCTCAGTTATTCCTATCGCTACTAATGCATAATCAAGTTGTGGTGGCGTTGTTTCACGGTCACTCATTCCTGAATCCTAAAATTACTAGTTGTGTAGCACACTATAGTAATCTCGTATAGTACATTATGGCAATCAATACTACAACACTAAAAAATTATCATGTCATTTTATCATGTGAGATCTTTTTACCATGTCATTCTGAGAGATTTTATTCAAGCGCTGGATAGTAATTGAATCGAGTAAGTGATGAGCTGTTCCTGACCAACCACACAGTAATCGCTAAATTTTCAAATAAATTTTAATAAGATAGAAAATTACCTGTCGAGCATTAACGTAAGAATTAAGAGGTTGTCTATCATAAGAGCACAAAAATCCACAAGGTGGATAGCGGTGTGATAACTCAGTAGCAGGAGTATTGAATCGCTGGGAACCAAAATCCGCCATGCCAAGATTTTGCTCCGTTGAACCGCTTAAAATCAGAATAAATGATAATTTGATAGGAAATAATTCATCATTATCACTTGCAGAAGTATTTATGAGTTAGGCATTTACCGCTTACGAACATTCGTACGGAAAGAAAAAGAACAAGAAAAGAAAGGAAGAACAGAAAGATAAAAAGTCAAGATTTTAAAAGATTTTTTTAGTTTTAAATTAAAGGAAAAGCATACAAACTGAAATGACTGGTAGAGGCATATTCCCTCAAAACCGGCGATGTACACTGGGGTGATGAAGTGGCGGAACGACGCTGCGGAAGAACATTGACATAGGAATGATCACAGGTACTCAATTCGGATGGCTGTCGTTGAAGCACATGCTCACTTCTAAAATTCATGCGTTTTATACATTCTAAAAAGCATATCACAGAAGAATAACTTAGATGTTATTCTTGATATACCCTGAATGATGCATGGGGTCAGCCGAAGAATGCTCTCATGCTCTCTATTGCTCTATCTCTCCTCAGTAAACAAGTTTAAAGTAAAATTAAGAATAAGATAATATATCCATATCCGTAATTACTGAATAAAGATTAAATGTTCAGATTATAATGTGAATACTTTTTCTGACATATAATTATATACTTTTCAATGGATTTAAGCAAAAAATTAAATGAATAAGTAATAAAAAAGAAAAATATACACGATGTTTCCCATAAAAGCCGGCCGATTGAGGCATGATCGAGGTGAATGATAGGATGGCGGCGGTAGAGGCCAAATAGCCGTATGGGCCGGCCCAGCAATGCTTCGAGGTCGTTTCGGTATTTGGAAGAGAAGCTGCCGATGATTACATCGATTGAGTGGCCGATGATAATTAGTAACACCATATGACGATGGTGAACGATCACCCACATTTGTCGTTCCTAAAAAAAAATATCTCGTAATATCAAGGATATACCACGATAAACCTGAAAAGCTCTGAAACAGAAACTGGAATTTGGAAATACTCCAATTAACGAGAATTACTTTTTTCTTCTAATTTTTTTCCTTCCTTTATTTCAGTTAGAAAGAGAAATAGAATTACTGAATTAAAAAAATTGAAAAACCGCAATAGCTAATTGGATAATTCAGAAAATTTTCAAAAATTCTCGAAAAACTCCGTTACCTTCACTTGAATATCGTTGTATTGGTTGAATGCGTGTACCAGCATAGCTGGATGGAATATTATGAACACTATGATAGCTTCCTGTAACTGATTGCGCACGAGCTTCACGTATTGCTATACCCATATTTGCATTGTCTTGGATACGTGACTGTACGAGCTAAAAATGAATATACTATGAAGAAATGTTCCTTTTTTTTATTTTGAAAATTTTCAGTTCACAAATTCCAAGTAAAACTGAGTTCAGAATAAATTTTCAAATTTAAAACTTCAAAAGTACCTGAAAAATAGCTTCAGCTTGATGTGACTGGAACGTATGAAGACCTTCACCGCTACTACATCTTAAAAAAATAATTGTAATGCAAATACCAAATTGGACTTTTTGATGATGACCATATTTTCTGACATATCTGAAGGCTTTTTTAAACACTTATCGGACACAAGTATGTCCATTTAAAGAGCTCGCTCTTGATAACCGCTATTTTATCCGTTGGATACCAATTTTAATTGACTGACTTCAATCTTATTTGAGATAAAAGTTGATATAATCCAATCAAGTTAAAAATTCAATATTAGGTAGAACTTTTTAGCTTAATTAAATTTATCAACCTTCATTTCTTTTTTATTATTCACATTATTTAATCCATATCTTCAGAAACTCAAGTAATACTTTTTTCAGGATAATATTCCTTTGGCCAACTATCAGACACCTTTAATTAAAGATGAAAAAATCCTTTTCTATCCTCTTACACGACTATTATTCACCTTTCCCAACGTGATTAATGAATCTCACAGATAATTATAAACGAAGGATGTTCAGAAATGCGTACTTTTGCGCCAATTTCCTAAGCTTTATAACAATTTTTATTTTATAATCTTGTGCATTTTAAGGACAAGTTTTAGTTTTACAAAAAGAAAAATTTGAAGACATTTTCAATTTGAATAGGAACTTATATCACTCCTCCTATTTCTTATTCCTTTTTCTTCATTGATATCAATGGATACATTTGGAGATTAATATAGAAATTAATTTCATATACTAATTATTTTAAAATATGATTATACGATTTAAATTATAGATAATAAATTTTTCTTTGAAATTTCAGAAGAAAATTTTTTCATCAGAAATTTACCAAAAGCATTAAGATGGATTGAACAGAAATACAGTACAAAATTTCAGGTAATATTCTATAGCTTATGTAAATCAGAATATTATCAATGAAAAAAAACTATTAATTTGAATAAATTTGTTTTTATAAATTAATCAGGATAATAAGCAAAGGAAAATTATTTAACAAAATAAAAGTATACATACCGTCGCCCACTTTCGAAAAAGAAAATTCCAGCCGATGTAAAACCATAACGGCGCAAAAAATGTAACGGCCAATTTAGCGTTTCACATCGCGAGCGAATAAAAACAATCTCATTTTCGGTCACTTTTAATGTTCCTCAAAAAAAACCGTTGAATTTATAAGCCAAAGCCAAATAAAAGAAGATAGAAAGCATTTGTTTCTTATTGCTTTTAGATCCGGAAGGAGAAATAATTGATAAGAAATGAATAACAGTTTTGTTTTAAATTTTATGGAACATACTTCGTGTATGATTCATATGAAGTTTTTTTTCTCGAAAAAGAATTCATAGATCATTGAGAGTATACGTAAAATTGAATTGAAAGATTAGATTATTATTAATTAAGAAAATTGCTCTAAAAATATTTTTCAAAAAAACTTATTTTAGTGTTGCACAATTAATGAAATTTGATTTACATTTTCCAGTATATTGACCCTATCGCTTGCTACGGATTAAAACAAAAAGAACTTTCAAGTTTTTTTCTTTATCAATCCTAAATCTTTTTTTTATCAATATATTGTCCCATTACATATCAAGTATTTTTTTATTATTATCAAATCGATATTAAACAAATATTAAAGCATAAATTTGATAAATAATTTAAGATAATGTGATAAACATTGAAATCGAAGATCAATCATAAAACAACAGTAACAGTCGAAATAATTATGGATGAAATTAATTTTACTTCCACTTCTATTTTGTAATTTTTGGAAAAATAAGCAAAAAAATCATTGAAAATTGAATTAATGAATTAGTGAATGACAACATTACCTGGAATAAATTTGTTTCTTTTTTTAACGAATACTTGAAAAGCTTCCGGATCATCACTCATAAAAGCTCCTCCAACTCTTGTTTCACCTCTACTTGCTGCATTTTGAAAATTTTTCAGAAATTCTCTCTGACCTGCTTGACTTACACAATTGCCCATAGTAATGATTTACTGAAAGAAAATATTGGGTAAATTTTTTCTAGGTAAAAAGTTTTACGAACATTCAAAAAAGCAAGAAAAAGAAAAGAGTGTGTATGTATATATTATATTAATGATTAAGAGAGAAATAATATTTTAAGGAATAATATTTCATATTTAAAGTAATCGTATTGAAATATGAAATTTTGTGATATCGATAGAAATTTACGAGCAATAAATTAAACTTCATCAGATAATAATAAAAAAATTTTAGATATAAATTCTTAGGATTTTTTTCCGATGCTTTTTTTTAAGTCCAAAAAAGTTCCAAATATTTTGAATGCTATATATATATATATGTATACAAAACATTTTACCCAGTAGTTATCAATTCTTAAATATATCTAATCTTCATCGTTATCGTATCATTTAAAAAATTCTTTTGATTCAAAAAAAATTTCAAAAAAAATCAAATATTTCCTAATATTTGAATATTTTCACATTGTGATGTAATGGATGAATTTCGATGATAATTGATCGTAAAAATACTTTTGATAAAAAGCGAAGATTTACAAAGATTCTCTATTTTGTTGTAGTGTAGTAATACAAGAGCTGCTATCACATCAAAAATATCAGAACCACTCGAACATTACAACATATTTCGATTTGTAATATTGGGAAAACTTTATACCAAAATGTATCAGATTAACCGAGCAAAATAGCTTGATGATCGATTGTTTTAGTATTTGTTCTTATCCATTCCATCCGATGGTTGTATTATTTATGGTAAAAAAAAAGGCTAATTATATCAATTCAACTTTATGCAAAAAAGAAGCCTTTCTTCTTCCTTTTGTTTTCTTTCAATTTTTATAATTAATTGATAGAAAATTTTCACTCACCTCAACAGTATGTGAATGCTTGTTCTTTTCTGCGTTCAGCCTACACTATCAATACAAATCGATGATGCTGAATGCTATCCATAGTTAATAAACTTCGCTAATTTTACTCTCCGAAATCATGTGCTTAAATTCAACCGACAATTTTTAACCAATCATTCCTGAATTTTTGATCAAATTTTTATAAGATGTTTGAAAAGAATAATGATTTGATAACAGATTAAGAAACGCCAAGTGTTTGGTTACTGGAATCGATCAAACTATTATATATCACTAGAAAAAGAAAAGAAAACAAAAACAAACAAAAAATTTTCGACAATAATATTCTCATTAACGTATACTATTTTATTTATATTAGGAAAGGAAATGAATTATTTATATATTAATTGTTATATTTTTCTAATTACTATTTTAAATGGTAAAATATAAAATTCACAAATTTATCTTTGTTCTTATTGAATTTTTCTTTCACTATATCAAATTAATCATAATCTCAATTCGCAGTAACAAAACAATAGTGAAATATTATTATTATTATAGAGATATATTGCAAAGACTTTTATGATTAACTGAAACATATAATCGTGCTTTGCTTGAAACATATATATATATATATATATATTTCAGTTATGCTACGGTAAATCTTAATCGTTAACAAAAAAATACTAGCAATGAGCAGTTCCATCAGTTAACTGTAGCTAACAAGCAAGCTATAAAACAAAAGCAACTGAGTGATAACATAGATAATGATGATGATGATGATTATAATGCTAACGATAATAATGATAATAATATTAGTAGTACTAATAATAATGATGATAGTAATAGTAATGATAATGACGATGATGATGATGATCATCATCATCATCGTCAACATTATCATCATCATTTATCCAGTTGGTGTGAGCTAAAGTGGCATAGCAGCTGGTTTATCCTCAAAATGTGTTGTAAACTTTTTGGCAAGCAACAGCAACGAAAATCCTCCCATCCTCGCCAATTGCTCAAAGAGCTAAAGGAATGACAGCAAGCCGCAAATATGAACGAATAGAGCGCAAAATGAACCATATTCTATAGTTTAGGGTTCTAAAATTATTCAATTTTAAGATGTAAAATCAGGGAAATGAGAGATTAGCTCTATGTATCACTAATTTCAAACTAATTAATCATGAAACACGGTTAATCCTAAGCTGGAATGCTAAATGGATAAATTTTCAGTTGCTTTTACTGATCGAAATAATAGATGAATATTAGGATTAAATTGAAATTTATTAAAGTATGATAGAAATAAAAATTTGTAATGTTGGTCATCACGCGATGCAAATTTTAAAATTGAGAAACAATTCCCGAATTATAATAAAATTGAAACATTCCCGAATATTACAATTATAAAATGAAAATTCAGAATGAAATAATGGGAAAATATCTAAAATAAAATCTCACAGGTGTTAAAATAAATGAAAATTTCAATATCGATAAATACTTCTATATTTGAAATTCAAAAGTTTAATTTTATGAACCTTTTCACTTCTCCTTCTCTTTCTCTCTCTCTCCCTCTCTCTCTGAGGATTAAAGTAATGATTTATCTCGGATAAATTTAATAACTCGAAGTTTTTCTCGAATAAGCAAATGAGATATTTGAAATTATTAAACTGAAGGTAATATGTTAACATAGTTAAGTTGTTAAATTAATAAACTTTGATTCAATACAAAAATCTGAAAGCAAAAATTAACGAGTAAAGGGCTTACCTGAGAAGAAGTAAATAATTACAAAAACAATTGGTTTAATTAAAAATAGTTAAATAGTTCGAAAAGAAAAGTCTAATAAGTTATAGAATTCGAACAGAATAAATTTTTGCACATTAAAAATTTCATTCTTTCTCAAAGATATTTTGCTTTCGTTCATTTCTCAGGTTTGCTTATCCATTTTCTGACTACAATGTCCGGATTGCTACTTGCAGTTCTGCGCCGTATTAGTAGGATATTATCTTCTTACGGAATTATCTAACATTTCATCTATTACTTGCTTTAATCTTTTTTTCCATCAGGCAAATCGATTGAATTAGCATTTTTTGCAGGTAAACACTTTCGTTCTGACCTTTTTGATCAGCATCAGGATCTTAATCATAGCTTTAATTATGTTCAGCCTTTTCCTAATAATTCCATAATACATAATTTACTAACTGAAATGTAGTAAAAAAATGTGGGAAGTGCGCCTAGTTTTAGCAGATTAATAGTAGTATGAGTTGGCCGATTAAGCTTAGCCTTGAAATTGATGAGATGTTTGCATGAGGCTCACTTTTTGAAAGTATCATGAACAACAGAGATGAATGAGCCAACAAACGGAGAGGATAGAAAGATGAGCAGATCAATCAACAAATATATAAGAGTAACAAAATAGAAGAAACTACTAGGAACTCTCGGGATTTTTTTCACCACAGCAAAAACGCTGCAACAGATAATTTTTCAAAATTTGATTTCCCGCTTTTTCTTTTATTCAGATTTTCAAGTATTTATTTGGAATTATTCTACTGTAGAGTATACGGTGCTAAATGGAACATTCGAGAACATTCGGGAACATTCGAAAAAAAGTTGTATTAGGTGGAAAGGAGAAAAATGTGATAGCATCATGCGACGTATCTATTGAACGGGTGGTTTGTCTTGGTGTGTGGTGTGCTTGCGGTAACGAGAGCGACGAAGGTATGGGGTTAATGAGTGATGTTGGAGAGATACGTTTCCCCTATTATTTCAGCGAGCGCTTCCATTTCTGCTATTTTCTTATTCTATTCAAAGTTCCCACATTAGATTTGTAAAATTTTTGATAAGAAACTTAAAAATTCGATTTTTAAAAAATTCAAATTTAACTTACACGAACATCTGTCACTTTTTGAAAAAGAAGGCTTTCTACTTCTCTTATATCATTTGTTGGTCATTATTGATTCTTTATCATTTACTTGTTCGGTAGCCTGGAGACTTGACTTTTCGAAGTCTTGTAAGATTCCAGATTGGAATTCATTTTTAATTGGTATGTTTGATAAGTCATCCACAAAGAATAGTTAATCAATTCTTCGTTCAAGCATCCATTTTTGATCATTTATTTCTATTTAAAATTCTGCAGTGAAAATCAAGTTTGTTTTTTTTTCCCTTATTTTTACTTATTCTATGACTTTAAGGACTGTATGGCTGTTTCACTGAACCACAAAGTTCAAATTCCTTGACTTGACCTCATTTGCATAACCTTGGTTTTTCATAAGTATCACTTGTATCTTGCTAGTCATATTTACCACTATAGTGATAATATATGATTGTAACTGACGAGCATTATTTACAATGATAACTTATAAGGAATCATTATTCATTGTGTTTTATTTGCAAGAGAATTACATTTTTAAATAAAATTCTGATCTCATCAGTCATTGTTATTGAATTTTGATGTACGTGATATAGCTTCAGATTTGTAAATTTTATTCTATATCGGTTTTTTTCAGTTTCAGTTCATCAGTGCACAAAATTTACGTGCAGTCATAGGCCTTGTGACACAAAGCTTATTTCATCTCTTGGTTGTTTTGATTGCATATTTCCTTTCTCTTGAGATAAATCAAGTACATCATGGGCAAGGATTACTACAAAGTGTTAGGACTTGCAAAGGGTGCTAGTGATGATGACGTTAAGAAGGCATACCGTAAAATGGCGCTAAAGTATCATCCGGACAAGAATAAAGAACCCGGGGCAGAAGCAAGATTTAAGGTTTGTTTCTGGAATTGATTTGCTAGAAATCTCTGCAATTTTTGAGATCCCCAAAAATTCATAGTAGTGAGCGTATCTTATATTTGATTTCAGGAAATAGCGGAAGCGTACGACGTGCTGTCAGATCCGAAGAAAAAAGAAGTTTATGATAAATTCGGTGAAGATGGCTTGAAAGGAGGAGAAGGAGGATTCGGAGGTCCTGGTGGTGTGCATTATGAATTCCAGTAAGCTTTTCTTTTGGCACTAAATCTGAAAAGTCATTTGAGGCCGATAGATCATCACCATAAATTAGATGTGGAATTTCGACGTGATAAAAATGTCGCCTGTCCAGTTTTTGGTAGCGAAGTCTATTAAATAATTCTAATCTCATCTTTGTTGCTCTTTTCTTACTCGGCAAGAGAAATAATTTGCAGAGGAGACCCAATGCAAATATTTGCGCAATTCTTTGGTGGTAGTGATCCATTTTCTACGTTCTTTTCTGGTGGATCTACCGGTGGTGGTGGTGGACCACAACTTTTCTTCTCAACCGGTGGCGATGATATGCATTTCGGTACTGCATTATTTCCTGCTTTAAATCGTTGGAATTTCTCATTAAAAGGGTAGTCAAGGTTAAAAGTAATCCTTTTTCTCTTAACCAAAGGGTCATAAATGAAAGTCTTGAAATAAAAGATGTTCTTTAGATTTTCCAGGAATTCCCTTCGGTATGGGTGGTCATCCACGACGCCAGCGTCAAGACCCTGTTGTGCAGCATGAGCTGTTGGTCTCTTTAGAGGATATCTACAAGGGTTGTACCAAAAAAATGAAAATTACCAGGTGACCGATTTGTCTTTCTGTAGTTGTTAAAATTCCGTTAATTTTTTATAAGTGCCACTTCGCAACATAACTCATCGATTTCATGCTTTTGTCATAAATGTTTAGGAATGTTACTTGTGGAGAAGTATTGTTTCTGTTATTTGTAGGAAGGTGTTATCTCCCGATGGGCAAACACGGATAGAAGATAAAGTATTGACAATCAATATCAAGCCTGGTTGGAAGAGTGGTACCAAGATCACATTCCCCAAAGAAGGTGACCAACATCCAGGACGTGTTCCTGCTGACATAGTCTTTGTTATCAAAGACAAGCATCATCCTAAATTCAAGGTAATTCTGTACTTAGCTCTCTATAAATCTTGAAAAAGATAAAGCTGTTTGACAATAAAATGAAAAGCTATTAATTTCTAATAATTTACAGTTTTTTTCAGCGAGAAGGTGCGGATATCCGATACGTACACAAGATGGCGTTACGTGATGCTCTGTGTGGAACGGTCGTACATGTTCCAACTCTTGATGGCACAACATATCCGGTGCGAATCGGCGAGGTCATTAGACCAAATACGTCCAAAAGGTTTGTTTCTTTTACTTTAAAGATAGAATGTTGTTGACTGTAATGCTCTAAAGACATTTTTTGGTGGTTTCCATTCACTTAAAAAATTTATGAAATAAATTTAGAGATATTTTCATAATGTGACTCTGTGTAGCTGGGCGATTTTCGCATGTTACTGTGCTTAAACGAGTAAATGATCGCTGGAAGCTTTGTTTGGCATCAACGAGAAATGCTTCTAATTTGTCTAATCCTTGACTGTAGCCTCACTAGCATGGGAATTGGTTTTCATTAACTTAAACTTTATCGTAATTTTAATCGATACTGTATATTCCTAATAATTTAGCCAAACTCCTTTTCGTTACTCCTGTTCAGTACATCGGATTTGTTTTCAGGTTGGCAGGACAAGGCTTGCCGAATCCTAAAATGGCTGGACGACGAGGCGACTTAATTGTCGAATTTGATGTGAAATTTCCAGATTCGCTTTCATCAGCATCGAAGGAATTGATAATGAATGCATTGCCAGCGTGATTAGGTCACATTTGCTGATTTTATTTGTATAAGCTGAAAGCTTTCCGTTTTTCTTCTATCGTTTTTTTAATAGGTGTTAATGACTGTAATTGGTCTGCTTACATTTTGATTGTATAAAACTCTATAGCTCTTTTTTATTGTATAAAACTTGATATATTAGAAAAACTACGAAATAGGGGTATGGGATGACTCAGCTCCAAATTATTTTTCAAAGGAAAGATTGTTATTATGAATTTGAGGTTGCTTTTTTCATTCCTCATGAAAAGCTAAAGATGCATTTTTTTAATATTTTGCATCGTTTACATCATTCACTGTTTTTTCCTCATATGTCGTCGGAGTTTGTCAGCTATTCGGTATGTACTTTTCCTGAAGTTCTGCATATCTTTTTAAGACAACTACTATTCGTTAAATCCATCTTGCTACTCAAATGTTGGCAGTTAACTTTGCCTTAATGTTATGCTCCTGAAACTTCTGGAACATTATGGAAAGTTTTTTGTGTCACACTATGATGAAAACTGTATATACTAATGTTTTATTTAAGCAAGCATTTGGGCTTCTTTTTTGTGCATCTACTAGCCATAGCTTTTAATCTTTGTTTCCCTATAACTTTTCGGAATTTTCCAGTTTCAGTCTTACGGGTGTTAAAATGTATGAATAATTCCCGTTTTTTTGGTGGAAAAATCGTTTGAAAAAATTTTATTTTGAAACGATTGCAGAGATAGGGTCTGGAGAAGAGATGTCGAAGAAGTAATAAGCAACTTACAGAAGCAATTTTAAATAGAAGTTAGCTCGCCTTCTCCTTTCTCTATCTCTGGAAATAAATAAATGGCTGGAAGTGTATTTTTCTGGATAGCGAGTGTATAAATTAATTGGTCTTTTCTTTTAAGAAAACAATTGATGAGGAATAGTATTAAAGTGTAGGCGTTGAAGTCTGTAGAGCTTTTGATGACGAAAGGAAATGAGGATCGTCGTATCGGACCGAGACTTCATGATCTTGTCCTCATAATTTTGCAGTGTTTTGTTTTTAGAGTAGGTAAGTTACTATGGCTGGGATATTATTTTGCAAAGGAGGGTTGAGGCGGCTAAAACATTTTCGGGTCTGATAAGTTTAAGGAGTCAGTGACGGGTACCAATGGGGGTCACATCGGGGATGAATGGGTGGAACTGTTTTGATGGATTTGTGGTGTTTGTTAACAGCGGCGGGGAATTGCAGTATTTGATCTCAAGTCGGGTCGTTTGAGATAGCCGGTTTTCCGCGATTACTGCGATTATTACTGATGTTGTTATCTAGTGTGTTCGTAAGAGCTATATATGGGAATATCAATTGACAGATTCTGGTCTCGAATTATTTATTGTGGCTTTATATCTCAAATTCTATTTCATTTATGTGTCGTAGATTTGGAAGTTGGAATTCAATATGAAGGAGGATTAGCCGGAATTGTGCAGAATTCGTTGGAAGTTTCAGCTTTCACAGACTGGCCGATGCTGCGTAGGTTTCAACTTGGCAGGCGTTGATACCTCGTTCGATTTTAAAGAATCCTTGGTCGCCCCACCTGGAAATACTTTTCATAAAACTACATTCACTTTACAAAGATTTTTATGTAATGCATTTTGGAACTATGGTTTAATTTCAAACTCGACGAGAACCGGAAGACAGAATAATCGAGGAAGAATAATAACTGATATTTCACTCTACCTACCCTTCACCCCAGCTGTTTTTGAGTAGCCAATATTTTTTGCCATTTTCTATACCGTAGCCGATCACTTCGACTGCATGATTCGGCTCCATTGTTGAACATTCACTGGTCCCCGGTAATACGCCGGATTTGTAGAATTTGTACCGTTTTGGAAATGCAAGATCTGTTAGGTAAAAAATATTGGGAAAGTTCTGGTGAGGAAAAGATTGATTGTAGATTTCAAAACTTAAGTACTGCTGGAATTATTGTTGTATTCTTATCACAAATGGTCAAAGAAATGTAAGAAATGCTTGTTACATATCCCAGCATTCTTCAATTAATTCTAGAATAAAATCAGACCTATTGCGAAATTTCGTAATCGAATTTCGTTATATAGTAGTGGAGAAAGGCCATTGCTAAACATTACTCATCTAAAATTCTTAATAGATACTGGATACCTACCTCTTCTGCCGTTTCTCCGATATTGTATTTGAAATGTCTTTTGTGAAATTTGCTACATAATAAATTCCAAAACATATTTAACCGAAAAGGACAATGACAGATGATACTATTTGTTGTGTGTGATCAGGTTTAGGTCAATGAAAGCAAAGATAAGCGTTATATTTCAGCGAAAAATTATTCATTTGTCATTCCTGTTCAATTTCTCGACTTTTACGTTACAGAATAGTGTAAAAGTCAAAGAACTGTCACACTAATATTGTCATTCCATTTTTTAATCTAATTATTCTTTTTACTCACACACTATTATTATACAAATTTTTAAAGTGTCCTTTTTAAATGGTTCAATGAGAAATTTTATTTTCATTCGGGAACGTTTCCTTCGCTCATTGCTGTTCTTGAAAAGACTTAAGACATAAAAGATATAAGAAGATCTGTTGTGAAAATTGATTTCTACTCAATCATTTGTCATACAAAAAAAAAACTTTACATTCCTTAAAAAAACGAACTCAAAGCAACCGGTGCGACATTTGCTACAAACCAAGCTATTGCATTCGGATCCGGATCGATTTGATACAATTTGTTGATGAAAATTTCACCATATAATGGACAGTAGTAATTGTTCCCCAATAATGTCGGATAATTCACTGATTGTGTAAAGCCGATATATTTTCCACGTCTACAAATGATATTAATTAAGAATTTTAATTATATTATTTAAATTTTAAGAGAAATTAAATTGTCACCCTGTGAAATAGCTCTATAGTTTTTTGTGACTTTTGTTCAATTGAAAAGAGTTTCTACAGTATTTTATTGATTACAATAAGCAGAATGTTTTATCGATAGATTAAACTCAGTAGATATCATAAATGAGCTTAAGCATTGAAAAGTTTATAAATGATTGAGAAGAAATATAAAAAGAGGATTTTTTCTCCACAATAAATATTTTTGCTTTTGCGTTGAATTTTGCAAAATATGTTTAAAAGGAACAAATGTATATAATTTTGTAGATTGATATCTGAATTAAAACAGGGACAGAATTTGTTTTTAAAAAGTAGTAACTGACGTCAACGATCTCATGATACTACCACTCTTACAACCATTGTTGGTATAATCACAATCAAGCATTTCGTATTCCGATATGGAAATATATCGTTGATATTTGATCGCGTACAATGATTCTATTACTGCTGTTACGGCATACGCATAACATGAATTACACTTATATGCTAAAAATATCAATTATTACATTTGCGACAAATGACGAATGCTTTCGTCGGAACTTAAAATAATGTCAGAATTTGAAATTTTCGAAAAAGTTAGTTAAGCAGTTAAAACAATTTCAATTTGCAAAATATCACTTATTTTATCCATTTTTTTTTAATTTAAATGATAATTTTGCAAGAAAATTTAAAACTAACATTGATTTTTAACTGCAGTTACACCGCCTTTCTCCCTCCAATCCCAACGGGGTGGATATGATGAGCCATCTGAGATTAAATAAATCCAACCATAATCATAGCCGCGGAACACATAACGATCCGGTTCAGGGAGTGGTTCAGAGAACTGCAATTTAAATTTCTTTAATATAGTAATTAAGAATAGAAATAAATTGAAAAACACCATCTAAATAGTTTTTCAAAACAATTTGTTTTTCATGCTTCCTTCAAGTTAGTTTCATCTTCTCTTAATATGTTAAATAGAAATGACCTCAAAAATAAACTTAAGAAAAATAAATCTTAAATTAAATTAAATTAAATTGAAAATTTGAAAAATTGCTTCATGCAAACCGCATTAAGTTCCTCATCATTCCAATCGGCAAATTTACCAATTTCATAAGTTGCGGTACTATTTTCATTATTTGATTCCTCTATAATGCGTACATTTTCTTGAAAAATTTCCAAACGTTCTCGATAGCTAATCGTATCACTGCCAAAATCACGAGGATACCTGGAAATTAACAAATTCAAAAAAAAAAAAGAATAATTAAGGTCTTTCTTTTTTGGAAGGGATAAGGAGGAAAATATTAAAATTAAGAAGATAAAATGATAAATTGTAAGGAAGAAAAATAATAATCGAATTCGTAAAACCAAAAGTTGACAGCTTAGCTAATATTATCAAAAGTGATCATCAATATTTTTATTTCTAAAATTTTAATCATTTTCAAATTTTAGCTATAACATACTTCATGAGAAATTTGTTGTAAAGTTTCGTAATTTGTAAAGTACTATACATTGTTATATTGCAATAACTATGTTGTAATTGTGTAAGCATCATTGTGACCACCAATATTGATATCATCTGTAAAGATATTGAAATTTTTTTTCAATTAAATAAACAATGAAGAAGTAAACAACTTTTTCTTTCTTATAAATAATATGAATTTTAAAATTAATATAAAATATTGAAAAGAAAAATAGATAGGATTCTGAGGCAAAAAATATAATACACTAACTTTCTTCTTGATGTTTAAAGGAGGAAAGAGCTGATAAATAACGAATGAATTTTTATCAAATAATCATTTAAGGAATGATAAGATTGCAGCAATTTGTTTTATGAGAAATCGAATAATTAAAGATGAAAGGAAATAAAAAGGGATTTTCTTTGTTGTAAAAGTTATTTACAAATTTCATTCCATTAAGTAAATCATTTGAATGTGAAAAATAAATCGATATTTGGAAGATTAAGTGATAAGAAATCTTTTTCTTTTATACGACAAATGAAATTATTCTTCTAAAATTTTAATCAATTCTTTCAAGAATATTATTTTTGCAATTCTTTTTTGGGAACAAAATATTCGAAGAAAAGAAAGATAAGTAATTTTCATTGTAAAAAAAAAAAATCATTTTAAAATTTCAAATTTTATCAAACAGAAAAGATAATTTGATAAAGTATATTTCCCTTTCTTCAAATTGAGATGTTGTATTATGATTTAACGATAGTAAGTAAGCCTAGTACTATTTGTTAGTCAATGCAAAAATTAGATCCACCATTATCATTCAATAGAATAATCACCGTTCATATAAAATCTTTATGGTGTAGTTTATGAGAAAATTTCTCATATGATCTAGTTTATAAGAAAATTTCTCATATGATACTTGACCTTATACTAAATAGATATAAAACTCTTTTAGAGGGCCAATTGACCATAAAGGTGTAAAATGTTCAATAAACAAAACCGGTCATTTGAAAATCTTCCCTCCAATCAATGCGTGACGCAAACATTGGCTGAATTAGCAACACTTCCATTTTTATTGTCTCTGTAAAACCCGCACTTGCTTTATAATATCAAAGAAAATCTGCGATAGAACAGAACGGTTTAAGATTCCTAATTTATAAATGTTTATTGATTTAAGCATGGATAGAGTTTAGACTGGCTGGCTAAACTTCAAGATGAAAAATCCAGAAAAAAATTACATCTTGCGTTAGTTTCTGGATATCAAAATATACTACTAAGTTTAGAGTATTAAATTTTCTTTTCTTTCGAGACTTATCGCCTCGTTGTTTCAAATACAAATAATATGAACGCATGCAGAATAGGCACAGCGGTAACAAACTTTATCTTGCTGAAGCATACAGACAATGAAATGAAATATTGCAATCTTTACATAATGATAGCAGTCATAAGTAATGAGAAAAACTTCCAGGCTAAAAATTAATAATTTAAGAAATGTTTACAGAATTCACAAACAAATCCTGATAAAGTTCCCACTTTTAAAAAAATTTTTATTCATAATTTTTGTGGACAGAATAAGAATCTTTGAGAAAAAAGGACGATCAAATGTAAAAGCTGCTGAGTAAATGGTGGTAATCTCAAATGAAGTAATAGCATCATGCATTAGTTGAAAACAATGAAAGAATAAAATATCTATAACAAAAAATCAAACATTCAGAAAACTCCGAACAACAGTAACAACGAAGTATCAATATGTTAGTAACAACACAAAAAACAGTTTTCTTAAAATTGGATACAATGACAGAAGTGAAAAAAAAAATGATAACTTCATCAACGAGCAAATAACATAATTAGACAGAATGGTTCTTAGAAGTTAGCTAACCCTTACTGAACAGAAAGTCCTTATTTGGGATTCAGTTCTGTGATTTTTCAGCTTGAACGTTTACAAACTACGCAGACTATGCTCAGTAGATTAGAACTTTTACTAACTTACTAATTCTAAATTTCGAAGCAACATTTGAGATTCCGAAAAATTTGTGAATTTGCAACCAATATAATACAGAGAGAATAACTGCAATATAAAATAATAAAGGAAGCAATATCAACTTAAATTTGTACAGATTTAGTGATCCATATCCGAAAAAGGACAAAAATTAAGGGATGCTGAAAAAATGTAAGTGGAATAATAATACCAGTAATCGAGACAACCAAGAATGACGAGAATATACATACTAACTTCAATATGCACATTGATTTCATTTATTATGAAGCGTCAGAACCTCCCTCACACACAACAAATGGCCTGAAGCGTATCACACAGAGATATTGAAAAAGAAAAGGTTTTAAAGCGACAGTAAATCTAACCTATTAGTAAATTCACAAAATAACAGATATACAGAACTTATTGGTCAATATGTTACTACCGTCAGCCTTAAGTATCAGCCTGAAAGTTTTATGCTAACGTCGATTTGACCGCCATTCTCGTCCGCGAAGCTTTCAGCATCCAAAGCACTAGGACCACCATTCCCTTCACACGATTTTTCCAAAATATCGCATGTTCCATCGTCATTTTCAATGCTGCGACTGATCACACAATCTTCACCAGCATTCGAACGATCAAAGTAAGACAATCGATCAACCACAATTCGCAATTCTTAAATTTATTTTTGTTCATTAAACAATATTTAAACATTGCTTCAGCTTCAGCAAATTTAAAATATATTTTATATTAAAATGTTTTTTCTCCTTACCACATAGCTTTACACATTCGAATTCAAATAATTGAATAAAACAATCGGTCTCACAAGTAAAACAGTTTGAAAAGCGCACGAACCTTTTTCCCATTCATCTTCTGGCAAATCAATTAAAACATCACCATTTTCAGGCAGCAGTTGTTGCGCTTTTTCCGGAGGAATTGTTCTGCAAAATACTTACTGTTCATAAGCAAAAAATAATGAAGTGAAGCTTGTATAAATTTTCGGCAATTTCATTTCAACTAACATCGGTACGAATCCACCAGATATTTTATCCACAGCTGATTTGATTTTTTCCGCAATTTTGGTAAATCCAAACGACAAAGCATCATCATAAGCTGTCCTATTCCACCTGTAATAAGATAATTACATATCCGATATGCCTTAAATATCAAAATTCCAATGAAGTTTTGTTATGAAACAACCGATAAGACATATCTTGCGTTACAATGACGAATAAATTTCCCCATGATTTCTAGGAAGTAAAAGTAGTGGCCTCTTAATTTCGCATCTTTAAATTTATAAAGTATGATAATATAATCCATAAATCCAATACTCCTTTAAAAAGCACAAGTCAACAATACGAATGATTCCTTCTACGACAGCTTAGATATAAACGTTGGATTTCACTGATATTTTTATCACTTTGTGTCACTTACTGAAAAATGATTCAATGTTTAGACTACCCATCGCTTATCGTACTAATTCGTTTTACAACACCCTAATTTCGCTCTGCAAAAATATTACAAATTAGGTACCATTTCTTGAAGGAGTTTACGTTTACGTCCAAACAATTTCAAACATCTTCACAACTAACCTATCCCTCACAAGTGGATCAACATGAGCGATGTCGAGAAAGAAATCCACCATTAACGATTGTCCTTCTGAAGCAGCTAAATGCAATGGCGTCCGACCATCATAGTCTGGCATATTCAAATCAATACCACCCAAAAACATTCTGGAAATTTTAATTATAAATCATACTGCTGGCTCCTCGAAAAAACACTTTTATAAATTATTATATTTATATGAGATGAAATTCCATGCGTAATCCTTCCCTTCAAGTTATTAATATCACTATTTAAGTCATTCGGCGAAGGGTTGGTTGTTGCCCATCGTTACACTATCAAACACGTCGGGCTCTATAATAAAGGTATATAGGAAACGATTAACACTAAACCACCTCGACTCAATTCACGCTGTCGCTCTATAATTGCCTTACTTTATTCGGGCATAGAGAATAACGTTTTCTTGTTGTCATTAAAATTTTACGAGGAATAAGTACCTTCGAACGCTATCAATGTCGCCTTTCTTGGTCGCAAACATCATTTCGAGAATCAATTCGGATTCATTTGGAATGTTACGCTTTCGGGGATCTATTTTCTTGGTATCTGCATGCAGTAAACTGTCATAGTTGTGGAAGTTGAAAGTTTCGATCATTTTCTGGAACAAAATCCAATAACTGCAGGTATGTCACACTTTTTCGAAAATTCTTTCGTAGTAACAGAAAAAAATCTCATTAGTAAATAAATAATGAAAATATATACCGTACAGAAGCTTACACCACGCACGCTGTTGCTCATTTTATCCAAAGGCGGCGACCAGATACAAATTCCCATCAAATTTGGTACCACAACAATCATTGCTCCAGAGACGCCAGATTTTGCAGGTAAGCCAACCTAAATTGGCATTATTGACAGCTCGTAAAAAGCATTGCAAAGTAATTTATATATACTAAATATTGATCCCCTCCATAAACAAAAGTACTTCAACTTGCCTGAAATGCAAATTGGCCACTGTAGTCGTACATTCCACATGAATACATCAATGAAAGAATATCGCGACATGGTCGAGCACTAACACATGTTTCGTTGGTAAGTGGGCAAACACCTAAACAAGAATTATAACTTCCTATTCGTTTCCCTGAACAATAATAATTTGCAAGTAATGAAACAACATAGTACAGTGTTCTGCAATTAATTCTTCAGAAACTTGATCAAAGTATTATCTTGTACTTAATCGACATTCGTTTATTAACGGAGAGAATTAAATTGCAAATGTCAAGTCTCGCCTCCATTAGCCAAAGTTGCTGCCATTACCGCAGCACTTTCACACGTTGTTTCCAATGAACACAACTGAAAATAGAAGTCCAGCTCATCCCGAAGCGATATTGAACCAGGAAAGCAATTATTTTCTTTCATGTAGTAAGAAAGCGCATAATTACGATCTGCAGTATCGCGTTCCGAAAGGAAGCTGAAAAATATCTCGTCTAGTAAAAAGGTCTTTTTTAATCTAGGAAGCATTGAACGTTTTCTTTTACATTAGTATAATAAAGGAATATTTTCGAAGTTTCTGAAGAGTGAGATTTTATTATGGGAATAAAAAACAAAAGCCTAAATGATACAAAATATTGTATAAACAAAACAATATAAACACTGAGAAACTTACGTTGCATTATTAAATCCTATGTAACCACCTCCTGCCAGTTTTCTATATTGTGTTAATACCTGAAAACATTCCAACTACAGTCTAAACTTCGAGTTTAACGAGTCTTGTCTTTGATTCACTCCTGTCCACTAAGCAATTATCCCATTCTCTGTCCTCAATAAAAAAAAATAGTTCAGGATAAGAATTGCCCCATTCTGTCCTCAATAAAAAACATAAACTTTCCTCAGCTTCAAAAACATAGAAGCTATATAAAAACAGAAATGGCGCTTAATACCATAAATTATACCAATCATCAAAAATGAATAACAGAATTTGATAGCATGGAAACTTACAAAATCATAACGATCTGCCATTTTATGTCCCATTTTCAGTAGTGACGTGACAATAATTGCTCCAGCATTTATAAGAGGGTTATGTGGTTTACCTGTTAAACAAATTACACGACATCAGACCTTTGTTTTAAAATAAGAATAATTAAACATTCTGAGCTTTTCTAATAAAAAATAAGACAGCGAAAAACTTTGAGTGAAAAAAATCGTAGGTTAATTAGCCTTACAAAATCATTTTAACTGAGAAACTTTTCGTAGCAAAAAAAATGCAGCTTAACATTTAATTAAAAGAACAAGCATCCTGCCAGAGTAAGCATTCTGCTAGACAACTTGAAGGAAATTGGAGTATCTGGATATACAAAAGCTTACCGTTACAATCCAGACATATTTCATTAAATAATCGCCCGGATGGTTCATGGCCGACATAGTTATGGACAAAATCTGCTCCCAAATCAGATGCTACTATTGCATAATTGAAAGCTAAAAAAAGGATCTTCTAGCAGAAAATTACCACTTTGATATGACTAAGAATTAAATAATATATCTCTAAGTGTCAGAACTACAGAAAATAAATGGCTGAGAAACAAAACCCATAAATTTTAATTCACCTATTACCTTTTGATATGGACTGAAAACAGAACGGCACACGTGCGTCACCGTAACTAATACGCTGTCCATCAATTGTGCATATTGAAAGACCCCATTTTTTAGGATCCACTCTGGCCAACTGAGGAATATAATCTGCTACTTTGCCTTCATGAATATTCGCGCACTAAAATTAATTTACTAACAATGTGCTAAAAAGTGAAAGGTGAAACGATCGCAATAAATATTAAACACAACTTCTTACAAACTCTTATAATAACCAAAATAAATTATTCTCCAGAAGTTTTCAAAGAACAAAGTAATTTGTCAGGTGGCATAATCCTTTCTAAAAAGAACTTCAAAGCTCTTTCAGGAAGGGATAGTAAGACGAGGAGTACGTTGATTATTAGATGTTTCACAAAAAAATAAAGAAATTGCAAATATAGAAAAATTACTTCATCAAAAATTTCTTTAATCTTGGCAGTAAATTCGCCCCAACATGGAATAATTAAATCGTTGCGAAGTGCCTGGGCGATTAAATTGATGCTGGGGCGAATACATCTGCAATTATTTCAGTTCAAAATAACATATTACTGCACTGAATTTATAACGCCAAACCATTCATAAAAGTTAAACCACTCAAATTTACAAGATGCAAGAGTTACTGAATGAAAAACAAAGTTTCCTATTCTGATTTTTTTTACTGAAAAAAAAAATATTTCCTCAATTTGTAAACTTACTCTTTAAACTGTTCTTTGTTTAACAAGCAATGTCTGGTATCACAATCATCCTCGATTTGTAGTTCATATTCGCGCATTTTTTCAACCGTATGTTTCAGCCGTGGATCGTCTTCACGGATCCCAAATGATCGCAATACCTGCAAGCACGAGCCATTAGTTACTTGAAAACTTGGAAAAGTGAAACAACTCGCAACTACTAAAATTAAAAACGGATATTCTCCAGTAATAAAATATTCCTTCCAAACATGGAAACTTACCTGCTCGATAAAGAAAGAAAGTTCTTACAGAAAGTAATTTTCCCAAAGAAGCTTCGTTGGGTTTTTTGGAACATTTGAAGAGATCGTAAGTGAGATCTTCTTGTGTCGGGTGTGAGAGCTGATAAACATGCTTCAAACCCTTAGCAGTATCATTCAGCAGTCGAGTAATAGATGATTTTCGGTTGTTCTTCAAGATTTTGCTTACATTATCAACTATAATGGAAACCAATAAATTTAATAAAAATACTTGAGTATTAAAAAGACTATATACCGAGAGAAATAACTGAAAACCACGAATGAATTTCAAATCAATCAATGATTTTATAAGCCGATCGAATTATGGAACAAAACACGATTAAAAGATTTACAACGGCGAGAAAGTTAAAAAGAAACCAATCTGAACAAAAAAAATTCCAAATATTCAGAAGTTATCATAAAATACATGAAAAAAATGAAAAAAACAGATAGCCAGTAAAAGAGAAAGAACAATATAATATACCATAAATACGAAATTACCTGCAGCAGAGGCACACTTGTACTCGTCGCTGTCCATTGCTTCAAAATCTCTATGACGTTGATGCTCGGCTAAATCACTTTGCATCTCAGAACTCGATGAGACACTGTGATATATCTACAGGACTTTTTTGGTGTATTTACAGTATTTATCGGATACATCTCAACAATCCCTCAATTTTTCATACCTATACACCTAAGCAACTTCTCCTTTATAAAAATTACAAAAAAGCAATCTACCAGTCTCCGGAATGGATTGACATATCTGCACTTAAGAAGTATCCTGACCCCAACATCGCCACACAATCTACGAATTTCTGGAACCATGCAGCAGCTAATATTTAAATTTCGATCAATCAGTACACGAACCCTTATGAGTGCGAGTAATTTCAACATACTTAAATACTTAAATTTCGATCAATCAGTACACGAACCCCTATGAGTGAAAGTAATTTCAACATATTTAAATACTTAAATTTCCATCAATTATTACATGAACCCCTATGAATGTGAATAAATTTTCAAGAAAAAAGATTGCTTTGTATTCCTTTAAAATTTGCTAATTTTTGTCTTTGAGCCTTTTGTAGGCCTTTTTCCAATCCTGATTATTGAGATATAACTCGGTGTACCGAAACTAGAATTCGAATGATCGAAGAAACGAAATGAATCAGCCAGCAATTGGAATAGAAATAAACTGTTGGTTTACACTATCGATTTTAAATTCTTTAAAAATTTGAAATAGGGGAAATTTTTAAACCATTTGAAATACAAAATCTATGACAGCGATCCTCATGGTTTATTTTTAAATATTCCTAATCAAGATATTTCATGTTCCTGGCAAATCACGGCCCTTTCTTTTCAAAAAGGCTCCTGGCAAATCACGGCCCTTTCTTTGAAGAAAATTTGATACATTCAAATTGCAGTGCTAGGTAGTGTTGATCGAAAATTAAGTCTTCCAGTACTTGCATGGGAATTTCTGACTTAACAAGTTTCTGACCTTAGCTCGTAGAGCATTGATCGGTGTTCCGCTATACATTCCGCTTGAGTTCAGATCACACCACTAGCGTTTTCTTCAGTAATTCTTTTATTCTTTATCCTGTTATTGTATATAATTCGTTTTCTCTCGAGAGATCAGAATTTCGTGTTGAAAATTAAATTTATTAAAAAAGCTCAATTTCATTGTACTTAAATACTGTAAAACAAAGAATTTGGTGATGACACCCATCCAAACATTTCGTGAACGAAAAAAGGAAACATGTACTTACGACGGCACACAATCGATTAAAACTACGGTGTAATTCTTAAAATGTTTTTTATTTCTCACTTTTTACTTCCTATAAGGGAAAAAGATATTTCGTAGTGGATTTTGGGATATTGTGTAAAATATGATCAAGCGTTATTTTGGATTCTCTAAAAAGAATAATTTGACAGATGGAATATGATACTGATATGATCATGACTGATTATTATGATTCGTAATGCAGACACAGTCTGGCAGATTATGACTCATACAGTGGACTTACAGTAATAAATCAATAGAAAGATAGCCTAATCTTTCAAACAAAACATTTTTTGGTGGAAATGTTATTGGAAGAGAATTAAATTTTTTCATAAATTCATGGGTAAAAAATTCAAAAAGAAAATTAGTTTAATTAATATTAAAAATTAATTGTTAATGAGATAAATTATCAATCTAAATCAATCATCGATTGATATTCAATACAATCTCAAGCTATCCGTTATATGTTGTTCGTTACCGGAAAATGATTGCCACTTCTTTCACGTACTCTTTCAGAGTAAAATGTAAAATGAAATTAGATCTAAAGAGAAAATTGACAGGTATTTTCCTATCTTGCACCGCACCACTAAATGAGTTGATGGAAAATTAGAAGATAAAATATAAATTCTTTACATCATTTAAATAAATAATTCCATTCATGTAATGCTAATAATAAAGTAAACAAAATTTTCAAACTATAAATTGCATACCAATATGTAAATTTTTCACTTTAGCATATATGAAAAGATGGTAATTGATGAGAAGCTTTATTTGCTAATTTTTCTTGGCTGGCAAAAAAGTGGAAAGAAAGGGGAAATAAATCAGTATGCCGAAATTGTTATACTGTAGTTTGATGATATATATATATATTAATTATACTATGTTTCGATACATAGTATATTTATTGAGCAGTTATAAAGCGATAATAAAATCAAATTGTAAAAATCGTAATAAGCAAAAACTTGGAATATGATATCAATTGATAAATTTCTTCCTCTTTATTGTTTCAATGATAATCAATAGAAATCATCATACCAAAAGAATTATCATATCAGTCGCTTCTTAATTCTTTCATTTCTTTTCGTTTCATATGAAATGGAATAAAGTGATAAGGATGTAAATAATGCTTAATTTATTTTCAACTTTTTACTAATATAAGAAATAAATGAGACATAAAAAGATACGCTACCTGAAGCAAAATTTAGATTTTAAATTTTTATATTAAAATTTTTAATATAAAAATTTAAAATCTAAATTTGTTTTTTTGATATTATTTTCATTAGAATAAAAAAAGTCAATTTACAATTTCAATCGATTTGATTTATCATTCTAATCAACCGATTATCATATCATTATTCAAGATGATATCAAAAATGAAACTGTTCACTTTTTTAAAAATTTAATTCTACTTTTCAGCGAATTTTCTTCTTGAAATATGTAAGCTATTTGAATTGATTCATAATTAAATATCATTTAAGGATAATACCAAAACATAACTCTTCGTACTTTTATTTTTTACTATTACATCTAAATTGCTATATCAAAATATTCAACAATTGAAAGATAGCATTAGCAGTAGTGAGAGTGATAATATGAGGTAAGCGAAGAATTGAAGAAAGGTTAATGAAAAGGAAACAATCAACTTCAGGTAAATAATATAGCAAAAATGGAAACAAAAAAGAAAACCTGTCGCTTTCAATTATTGAACATCAAAAGAAAAAATAATAATCACAAATCACGTGAAAACATGATAATTAATCAAACAGCTATATTCATAATCAAAAATAAACAAAAATATAAACAACAAAAATTCTTCATCAAATTCATAATAAAAAAAATAATCAAATTTAAAAATAAAAACAGAAACAGCATAAAACAGACAAAATTAGTTTAAATTAACAAACAATCAATCTATAAGATAAAATCTTTTAAAAACAATAAAAACTTAAACGAATATTATAAGACAAAAAAAACAATTAAAACAACAGTATGATAATAAAATTGACAAAATGAAGGAAACAATTAAAATTGATAATCAAATTATCAAAATAAAAAAAGAAATTAGGAATAATATTATAAATAAGTTGCAAATAATAATTTATAAAAAAATTATTCTGAAATTTAAGCATATATAAATCATTTATTAATTTGAGCTACATTTCTATGCTATGATTATTAAAATTTAATTTTAATGGGATCAATCGATTGGAATAAGATTGGAATATAATCAATCGTTTAGAATATAATAGTTAATTACTGGTATCACATAAACATTCATTGAAAAAGATTTTTAATAAATTAAATTAACGTGTAATATACGTATAAGGCTTGATGTAACATATGTATGGGGCTTGATATAACATAGTATAAGGCTTGATGTGACATACGTATAAGACTTGATTTAGATAACTTTTGTAATTGATTATAATTTCCATGGTATGACTTAATAATATGTAAAAATAAAAAATTCATGCCGAATGTATTTTTTTATGTAAAAACAAAAAAAAAGGAATTAATAAAGTTCTTTAAAAAATATTTGTTGATAATGCTATTTTATATGATCGTTCCAAATTTAAAAATTCTACTTTCATAAATTTCATTTAGAATTTAAATTAATAATGTAATTAGCTAATTATATATTTCTCTTTTTTTTTTTAAATAGTTGATGGGATGAAAGCGGTCATATTGTACCACTAATGCGTGGCAAATTTTAATTGGAAAATAAGGATGGGAGTTGGTTTCATTTTCGGCTTTGTAATTTTTAAATTCTTACCGGATTCGTTTTACTTCAGACTTTTCTGGAAATGGTTGTTTCAATTTTCAAAGGAGAAGAGTAAGATCAGTAAGTTGGTGTGGAGAGAGAGGGAGAGGGATCCGGCACCATTGAGCTATAGATTTCCTGATGGTTTTGTTATTAGAATATGTGCAAACATTTTTAAAAATTCACGACTATGCAGTAATTGTAACAGTGATTGAGAGTTCAAAAAGAATGACAGTATCTGGAGAGATAATAAAGATCAATGGAAGGGAAGAGAGTGTACATGAGAAGAGAATAGGAGTTGATAGGAATAGTTAATAGTTCTGCAATGCTTTTTCTTCTTTTTTACTTTTTTCTTTTTTGTTGCAGAAATGACTTCTTTGTATACCATCAAAGGAATTGCTATATTGGATCAAGATGGTAATCGTATCCTTGCCAAGGTATATTGAATTGGTATATTTAACTTTGCTTAGTCAAATACGATACTACTACCTGCTTGATTCCTTTATTTAGCCAAGTCAACCATTGTTCATATTTTTTATGATACGCTGTTATTTCCGATTTTTATCTCCATCATCTCCATGTCTTTAATCATAAAATGATTTAAGTGGATACAACATCGAAGAATTCACCATCTTTCAATTTCATACCAATTATGGAATCTTTCCTTGACAAATATAGAATTTTCTTTTTCAGTATTACGATGACCAAGTATTTCCAAGTACAAAGGAGCAAAAAGCTTTCGAGAAAAGTTTATTCCAGAAAACATGCAAAGCAAATGGTAAAATTTAACCGTAGAGTTGCTGTTGCTTCCTATTATGTTAATTGATGGTGACAGTTCTGTTTAGGAAGTTTATCTTACGGCTTATGTTTTCATAATTGTATAGACTGCTCTGTTTTACCAGATAAACTTTTCAGGACTTGTCAAGATTTTACGTTTAATTTGTTTGAAAAAGTTCTGGAACCATTATATATAATTTTTCTCATTCTCTTTGCAGCCGAAATAATTTTATTAGACGGAATGATTTGCGTATATCGGAGCAACGTTGACCTATTTTTCTACGTAATGGGTGGTGCAGATGAGAACGAATTAATCCTTGTCTCGGCCCTCAACTGTCTGTACGATTCGGTCTCGTTAGTACTTCGAAAAAATATGGAAAAGAAGGCACTTGTCGATGATATGGATATTGCTATGTTGATTATCGATGAAATTTGTGATGATGGGTTGGCAGATCACTTTTTACCTTTTTTTACTACAACTATGAACAAGAATTGGTTCTCTTGTATCACTATCATGAATGGGATTGAATATTTCAGTCGCCAATGTAGAAAGATGCATTACTCTAGAAAATACTGCCAAATCTTGTGTGTCTTTTAGAAATTTCTACTAAAAATAAGTAGGACTGCATTTTAAGCTTATAAAGATTTTCAGTAGTTGGAGCTTCAGAACTATTTTATCTAACTTAGTGATTGCATCGGGAAAAAACTAGAAAAAGAGACAAAAGTTTCGGTAGATTTTTGCTTATATTTGCGATAAAAAAGGTGTAGTGACAATTCTATTTAGCTTTTGAAGCAAATGAATATTAAATGGTCTTAAATCTGATTGATTAGTTTTTGCTTTATTTACTATTATATGAAAGTAGTCGTATCCAGTCTCATCTTATATTTCATTTCTCGGTGACCATTTTGAAACCCAGAAAGCTATTTTAATGTTTACGATTAGGTAACATGCCAACTGAAAGAAGTTATTAAGCAATTTTAGATTCACGAAGTCAAGTCAATCATAGTCTTTATATCTCTTGTATTTACAGTGTTTTAATGGAAACAGAACCACAAGCTGTTGTAAGCCGTTGTGCTCTACGGACCGATGAACTGACATTTGGTGATCAAAGCATTTCTCAAGTGGGAATGTCGGTACGCATGTCTTAAAAAGCAATTTTTTTCATATAGCTCACTTTTGTGTGACTCGTAGCAAATGCATGCTGTAATGTCAAATGTGTATTGTGTAATGGTTCCTTATTTGAAAAAGAATTCAAATCAAACGACTGCTTAAACAATTTAAAAGAAATCATTTAACCATTCGTTGTAGCAGCTCATTTTTTGCTTGTTGAAAGGGAATTTTTTACTTGATCGCACAAGTGTTTCGGTTGCTTGTAATGAGATACACCTCTCAATACAAACTCTAAAAGTTGCTTTTAGAAGCTAAATTAAATGTCGAGTTAGATGAAGTAGTTTCTTCCCTCACATTAGAAATAATTTCTCGAACTTGTTTTTCGTTTAAACAGTTTTTAAATATATTTCTCGAACTTTCTCTTTATGTTCATCATATTGCATATCTTGGTGGAGCTTCAATTGGCATATTTTTTTCTGTTCAATTATTATCACATCTTTTTAACCGATGCACAGTTTCATGCTTCGTTTTTCACATTGACTGACAAACTTAGCATTTTTGGTGAATGATTTAGTTTGTGTATTGAAATTAGAAAAATGACGTTCTGATTTCTGTCGTTCTGATTTTTTTTAGATGATTTTAATGTATACTGTCTAGTCTGTGTTTTTGAATGGAAGTTGGAGCAGGCTCTATTATCGGAATTCAGATCATCACTTTTATCTTACATATGAAATTGGAAAAGCTTAAGAAATGGCTTAGTGCGTGCTATCTTTTTGGTTTGCTAGGGTCTATATTTCCTTAAATCGGATACTTATCACATTCAATTCACAGATCAATGAGTTTTATTGAAAATGAGAAGTCTACAGGTTGAGGTCTTATGGGCAGGAATTTAAGCGATGAAAATAAAATAGTATGCTGGTCGCATTTGCATGTTGCATGTCTTTGAGATGCTTGCAATGCTAATGAAATGGATTTTTTCCTTTTTAATTTATTGTGCATTCATTAACGGGATTGAATGAAATCCTACAACATTGAAGCCGCGAGATAGTATGTTTGGCTTTACTCTGGGCTTATTTATATGAGTCTTATACGCACTTGACTAGAGTATATTATTCCTTGCTATTCGAAAGTTCCGATAAGAGAAATTTGGATATGGAGCATGTCAAATGATCAAAGTATCTTATTTTTTTATTTGATTCCCTCCATATTTGAAAATCAGATCGTTCTATTATTGTCGCTTATGTTACGCGTTATCGGTAATCTCATGCATGTGGTCAAGGAAACTGTGCAATTATTACTTAAGGTGGACTTGCTAAAAATTCCTCTTAAGGGGCTGCATTTATAATGGTCTGACATGGGAGCGGGTTTCTGGTCGCTGTAGCTAATGTGAAAAATATTTCAGTTAATCGGTTCGGCAAAGGAGCAATTGAAGTGGTCTCTTTTGAAGTAATAAGCAAGGGAAGATGAATTTTGAAGTATCTATATAATTATTGATGACGCTGAAGTTAATCACACGCATACGGTACATATATATGTGCATCTATGGTGATGGGTTATTATTCTTTTTATTTCTGTTTTGTTTCTCGACTAGGTGTTTTGATGCTACTTTTTATTATCTTGAATTAAACAGAAATATCTTATTTGTGTCTGATCCCGGTTGTTTCTAAAAATATTTCCAAGTAATGGCTTACTTTATAACTTTATTCTGTTGAAATGGGACGAAAAAGGATTTTGACCAAACAAGCATTCTAGCATTCTTCGTTGTTTATTCTCGCGTTGGTGTATTAAGAATTTAAGAGGTACCATTTCATTTTCTTCATGAAATTTGAAATTATTATGTCAGAAAATATTCGTTTGAATTGTTTACACACTCAAATTGTTCAAATTGTTTTATTATTGTACTTGAAGCTGATCGAGTTTTGTTTTTTTACTTCCACTTTAACTGGTCCTCATTCTTGCTTTCTTCTTTTGCAGCTGCTTTTTTCAAAGATTTAATTTTTTTAAAAGTTACTGTTCATTTTTCATTGTGCTGATGTAATTAATAATTGTACACCAATTGTACACTTGTCACAGATATTTCACACTCGCTCCCTTTTTTGCTGAGCTCAACTATTTTAGCTTCTCCGTCTTAAACTATCTGCATCCAGCAGTGATCCATTTTGGATCACATCACTTTTTTGATTAGTTTTTAGTAAATTCTGTTTTTGATAAACATGAGAAAGTGGTTGGGAAGATTTAAGGTTTGTTGTGTAAGAATGATAGATGTCAATTTTTTTATTGAATGGTTTATTTGATTGTACTTATTTCAAGCAAATATAAATGGTTCACTTTGATTAATCTTCTGTTTTATATTCTTTTTCACAGATCGGGAAAGTGTGCAAATGAAATAGTCACGGATTTATCTTTCCTAATAAAATTATGGGAATTTTCGAACAAATTTTGATTCATCCGGAATTTATTTGGGAGATTTCTCTCTACAACTAATTGAAAAATAGTCATTTTCACAATGCAATGAGAAGGGAAGAGAGGGAGAGAGAGAGAAAGAATGGTTCTAAATGATTTTGAGTGAAAACCGTAAAATCAGTCCGGAAAATACGGCGCATATGTTTTGATCGTTTCATTACAGAGGAAAGACTGATACAAAAGCATGAGACGAACTCGATGTCAAAGATGAAAAATGTAGATTTAGTTGAAATTCAAATTTTCTTTTGTTTTCAGATACATAAGGTCACAAATTTACATAGATGCCCTCATTGCGTCGAGGTGCTCGTTGTGCTGGCCGATTGTCATCAGTTGAAATGCCCGGTAGACGAACCAGGAAAGCGAAGGTATGCTTTATCCGATTCGTGCAAATGGCATAAATTTTTTTCCGGCATAAATTATCTGGTTATCATTAGTTACGTGTTTCTGTGTAATCCCTGTTAAATTCATGAGCTTTAAGTAGATGTGAATAATCAGAAATATCGGCACTAATCACGAGCTTAATAGCAATATGCACGGGCAGATAACTTTTTTCAGGATGAGTAATATTAAAATAATGGGGAGCAAAGCTTCGTCTGCTGGACTGTTCTATTTTTGTTAATCCTTCGTTTGATTTTGTATTATTATGAAGCAATATTGGTGCCATTTTTGCTTCAATTTTGAGTATGTTTTTTGTCTAGGTAACATTTTTTATATTCCGTAAATACAAAAAAAATCGAAGTTGAATTTTATCAGACGAAAAAAATCTAGGGAAGTTTTTGGTGGAAATTCTTGTTTTTATTAGATTTTGGAGGTCATATCGTAATACAAACATGTAACACATTTATTAAATTGAAGGCGTTCTTAATAAAGTGATTAATATCAATAGCTTGGAATTTTTAAAATTTACTTTTCAGTACGATGTGTATTTTATCTTTCCGATATGGCATCAATAGTTTTTTCTTTTCCCATCCCGAGATTTTGATATCCCATTCTAATATGTGTATATGCTTCATGAATTGCTTCATGAATTCTAATGTGTGTATCAGCTGTTTTTAACTAATTTTTTATACTTCAAAAATTCAATCGTCTCCCGCCTTCAATATTTCTAGAATCCTATCATTTCTGAAGTGATATATTTTATTTTGAAACTTCGAGTCAGAAAATTGTAGAACTAACTGCAAAATGGTAATTCACGGAATTTTTCTATATCCTATTTTGCAGTTCTACAACTTTCTGACTCGTAGCTCCCAGAAACCAAGAATTTCTGGGATAGTGTATTTTTGAAATTCATCCGTTAGTGGTTACAAATCGAACATAAATAGTTGGAGTAAATGCGTATTACATATGACCTCGACATGTAGGGCAAGGCTTCCGTGGCGCAATCGGTCAGCGCGTTCGGCTGTTAACCGAAAGGTTGGTGGTTCAAGCCCACCCGGGAGCGATGGATTTTGCGGACTTGTTAAAGCGAATTTGTTCACTCCTCTATGAGCTCATTGCCATTCTAGTTGTGAAACTGCGTCTTTATTATTAATGCAGTGGCCAAATTGATTAGTATTGGGTTTGGATGGGACCCCCTAATTCTTTGGGCGATTGGAATTCCCCCATTGATTAAGGCATCAATGATATGGCATCTTTAAATTCAGGATAAACTTACTAAATTAAATGACGGTAAAATGTATTTAAAATAATTTTTAGAAGAAAAATATTAAGAAACGAAATAATGCATTAGTGATGAAGAAAACATCGGTATTGGAAGAGGAAAAAGACGTTGAGGATGAGTTGTCGGGAGGAGAAGAGGAAGAACAAAATGGGAGTTTGTCAGAATATGAAGATGAACTAGATGGATTATTGAGGCATCGAACGGTGATCGACAATTATTTCAATCAGGGAAGATTAAAGTCTTGTAATAGAAATAATCGTGCACGGCGAAAAAAGTGATTTTTAATTTCTTCTTTCTAAGATTTGATAGATCCAAAGATATATTGCTTTCCATGAGTTTGCTTCATTTTTTTTCCTTAATTTTCATCAAATGAAATGAAATTAAAATAGTTTAGATATTAGAAGAGTGTAATTTCATATCTGATCACCTTGATCTTGAATGCTCTTTGTATAGTTGCAAAACATTTTTGTAATTCAAATTCGTGAGAAAAACAATAATAAAAATATTCCTTCATCCTTCTTCATTTCTACAAATATAGTATAGCAGATTTTTCAAAAAATCCCTTCTTTTAAATGTCATTTGTTATTTTTCCGTCGTTAAATTTATTTCTCGTAGCTATGACCAAAGGTGAAAACTTTTCTGGTGAGACATTTAAATATTTGCTTTCTTTTTTATAGACGAAAACAGGGTGAGGAAGAAGATGGAGGAGATACATACTGCGATACAGTTGAATGCGATTTGCGCTTACTCTCAGATTGGTTTGAAGTAGGTGTTCGAATTTTGGTCTTCCGAGTTTATGAAAATTTCAGCGTTTCTATTTTTTTAGAAATGGATACTATTAGAGCAAGGAAAGTCGAACTTTTATGAGGATCAGTGAAATTTTTTGAAAATCTTTGCTGAAATCAATGATTTTTTAAGGAGATTCAGTCTTATAATATTTTTTGTTGGCTGATGGCAACGACAGTTTTTGTGGAAAATTGATTAAAGAGTGCAAAGAAACATATATTAAATTTTTTGTAGAAATGTGATAATTATCTTCCACGTGGTATTGTTCGAGAGTGCTCGAACGCGGAGCGCTTGTTTCCCCGTTGGTTAACGTATTTGGCGGCTGGTTTTAATCTCATTGTAAGTTCAGATTGTTGTATTATATGATTATTTCTTTTATTTTGCTACTTTGCCGTTAACATCTTTTGGCTTTATTTGCAAAAAGAATTACTGTGTTCTGCTAAGTTTCCACTCATAGAAACCAAGGATTTGAATATAGATAAAGTACGCTAATTATTTGATCCCAAACCAAGAATATCGCAATTTTTATATCATGGAAGTTCGTTAACACTACTAGTTAAGTGAAATAAATTGTTTCCTAACCATTGGTGAATCTCTTAGACAATTTCTTTTTATCTATTTGTAATAAAATTGCTGCTAATTTTAGATCTTTGGCTTAGGTTCGAAGCGTAAACTTATGCAAAATTTTTGCGAAAAAAAATTGCAAGATTACACATATATTGCCGTTGATGGTTTTCAACCCTCGGTTAACTCACGTATTATATTTCAGGTAAACAATTATTAAACTATTTTATTCCTAAATTATTCACATCCCTTAGGTATGTCGGAAAGAATTTCATTTATTAGTAATTAATAATTAGCTGCCATTAGATAATAAGGTAACATCACTGATTATCAAGTATTACCACTTATTAATTGTGTGACATTGTTTTTCATTTTCGTGATTTTTTGCTTCTGAGTCATTCTAACGTTCTTTTCTTGCTAAAATTTTTAAATGAAACTGATGTAATTAAGCTGGTGATATGTTGGAAAAATAATAATTCATAGATAAACAATTATTTACAGTGTTTGGAAGAAAATTTATCATTGAAAGTGATTGTTATGAGCAAAAATCAGCTGGAATATGCAAGTGCCGTTGGTCGTGCAATTGACAATAGGAAAGAGGATGTTGTTCTTGTATTGCATAATATTGATGGACCTGGACTGAGGTTTGTCCGTATTGATTACTTGGCTTAATTGTTCGCGAATTAAATAATGGAATGGAAAAAAAGTTTACTTTTTCTTAACTGCTTTTAATCATGATCAAATTATAGGGCAACGATTGAACAATGGGCTCTGGCGGAATTTGCAAAAGCTAAACATACGCATATCATTGCTACTGTTGATCACGTCAATAAAAGCTTGTTGTGGACTCAGGTCTTTTTTAATTTTTATTATTTTTGGTTTAATCCATATTCTATTTCATTATAATATTTTCCTGTCATGTTTATTACTCTTTATCTTTTTTTTCGAAATACTTAAACTTATAAAATTATAGAAACAAAAGGAAATTTTTCATTGCATTTCAGAAATTATTGAATGCATTTAATTTTCTCTTCATCAATGTAAATACTATGCAAGCCTATAAGGCCGAAGTATTTGCTGGCTATTCGAAACTACTAGGATTGAGTCCGAAAGGTTCGGGATATGTGCATACATTTTCATCGTTGGATGTGGTCTGGATGTCGTTGACAAATAATTCCCGCTCACTGCTTCAGCTTATCACCAATCATTATTATCGTAAAAAGAAGCCACTGGAGTTTTTTGAGCTCTTTCGTTTGGCCAGGTGATTTCTCTATTTGTTCTTTCCTATTAAAGACTAAGTATTGATATGACGGAAAAAGATGGTCTATTCCAAGATGAATTAAGATAGCGAATTTTAATCTTCACTACTTCTTATTTACTATTTTAGTGAGCTTGTTTGGTTTTTAGAGATGAATTCCTTGTTTCGACGGATGCAGCATTACGGCAACATCTTAACGAATACAATGATCATTGTCTTATCTTGCGAAAGCGTCACAGCGATGGCAATGAATACATATCGATGGCTGTGGAGGAAAGAGTGAGTTACATTTTTGTTGTTAAATTTAAATTATGAAATAATTGTGAGAATTGTATGAACCGACAAATTATCAATGGATTAAGAAATAGTTTGACTGTTTCATCATCGAAAAATGTGCTGTACTAAATAATAAGATAATGCTGGTAGTGATCTTGGAGAAGACAAACTTATTAATTTCCTGAGAGTTGGACTAGTAGTGTAATGATAATCTGGTCATCTAGAAGCCTTTGCTCGTTTAAATATTTAACATCTTAACAATGATTATTGTCCTATTATACGGAAGTGTAATGCAGTTGTTCAAAATGATTTGCAAAAATATGATCTTTTTAATCACTACATTTTTTTATTAAAATTTCAGACAATGATGGAATTTATGAAGGAAAAGGGAATGCTTTTGGATGATGACGATAGTGATTGACATTTTGATTTCTTTCTGTTTTGGTAAAAAGCCTTGATCTTAACATGAACTCGAAGAAGTTTTTTTGATCTTTTATCACAAACATCACAAAGACAACTTCTAACATCTCTACCGACTATAACAACATATATATCTACCTCCCTTAATTGTCATTGATTCGTTATTTCTCATAGTGGGAGTTCGGAATCAAGAGCGGACATGATCATGATTCTCAGTTTTTTTTCTATTGAAAAATCTTGGGCATTTTCTAGAATTATCAAGAAGGTTCTAGTTTTTTTAGAGTTTTTAGAATTTACGGACATTATAAAAAAAAGACAATAAAAATCTAGACAATTTATTTTTCAATATTGCGTCGAAACGTAAATTGTTGTATGAATTGGAAATTGGTTCACATTATGTTTAACCACAAATTTCAAACTTTGAAAAAAACTGTTACGAAGCACTTCCTTTAATTTGCTGCCATTACCGTTGTTATTAGTATTAATCACGGGTAAACTTTAAAATATAGACAAGATTAAAGAAAATCTTTTGTTATTGCTTTTTTCAATATATTTGCTCATTCTTCAAATATATAATTATACTTGTAATGTTCCTCACGTCAGCAATATTAACTATTTACTTTTTGATAAAAATGATACAATTCGAGTTGCTGAGCTTCACCAACTCTTGTAGTATATGTTTAAGGCCTTTTGAAATTTTCATCTTTCCAAGATATAAGACGAAATAAACAACTGGTATAAGACTGAACATATACAAAACAATGTAATAAGACTGCCCTCATAATAACGACTTGGATAATGAGGAAAATAATTATAACGCTATGATTAAGAGGGTAATGTTAATGTTATCATTCGTAGTTCTATTATTCCTCTGGGATATTCATAAATTCCCCTGAAATATTTTTAAAGCATTTCCCAAAAAATTGAAATTATTTTTTAAAGATTAGCAGTTCTTTTTCAGTCTTTGGTTATTAAGGATAAGAATTCATGATTTTATTCTAGTTCTCTAATTATAGTATCGGGTTCAGGGAAAAAAAGTTATCCAAGAGTGCCTAAGTTGAAAAAAAGCAAAGATTTTGAAATTTGATAACGGTTATAGAGCAGACTTATCATAGTATTTTCATAACAAAACTTCAAATTCAAGTTTATATCCATTTTCATTCGTATCGCTACCAGAACCGGTCGGTCTGCCACTACCGTTATAATTCCACTTCTGATTAAGCTTATAATTTGATAGTATGCATGTAATTACGAGCACTTAAATCATTTCATTAAATATCATGGCAGGATGTCAATATGCGATTGACAGTCTTCCAGCATATACACCTCAACTGATTGCTTTCTTGATAGCATTAGCGGAATTTATCATCGTTATCATTGCTTACATCGCTCGAGAAACTCAACGAAAAAAGGTTTTCAATAAAAATTCTACCAATACGAAAATAGCAGAGGAAAATGAAATAAATATGAGAAAATTGAAGTTAAAGAGGATTATGTATTCACACACTTAACTAAGTTATCATGTTTTACTGATTAAACAACACATAAAACAGAAAATTGGAAGTGAGTGCTAAACAAAATATGAATTTCGCCAAGTACCATTTTCTTGCTAAATTAACAACTACAAAAATTAAAATTTAAAAACTTAACCGAATTCGATTTAATTATTGACTTGAATTTTACTAGCCATTGGAAGTATTTTGATTAATGCTAAAGATTAAAATAAATTCTGAATTTCACTACATCAAACAATTTCTAATTCTATTTATTATTATTTTTTTAATCTCTAATATTTTTGCTTAAACAAATTATCGTTATTTGAAATGTTAGAATTAAGCTATTCCTATTACTTTTACAGACGTTTTATGGACGTGAAGATTTTGAGGATATACCAGAAGAGGAGAAAATGGAACATGAAGGAGCTATTATGGGTAAAAATACCGAGGAAGTAAGTCTTCAAATTATTTATTCTAAATATAGCATAAAATGAAAAGGAAATGTCGAACAGAATGATTAGCAAGCAAATCATATCATCAACAATTTTTCCTATTCATTTTCATTGTAAGATAAGATATCTGTTTTCAAAATAAACCGATGATAATAATTTATTTACAGGTAGGATGAATTTATGCATTAACAAAATCTTAACGATATAATTAAATGGGAAATAATAAAGTAAAAAATGATCGTATATTTTAAGCTTCGTATCGTACAATCAACAGATCGTGGAGCAGAAGCTGACGTTGATACAATAACTGCACCAAGTGCTAGTGGTGTTAAAGTGATGGTACGAAGGAAAAAGGCTATTTCGTTAGTAGTGATTCATTTTTTTTCCTTGTCAATTTAGTATTTGAATAAATTAGATGGATAAATTTTGTTAATTCGATCAATTTTCTTATAGAGAGCAAACTGATTCATTGACAAAAAAAGAGACAAATGCTGCAGATGCTAAAAATATCCGTTTCATGCTGGAAATTGATTGTACAGCACGCGGATTTGAATTTATATCTGTACTTCAGGTATTAGAAAATTTACATAGTTGATGACAAAAATTAGTGGTAAAATTTAGATATGAATTTTTACAATCCATAAAAATCCTCAATGTATCTTTACAATAAGTAAAGAAATGAAATCTGCCTTGCATGTCATTGAAAGGAAGTTTATTTAAATTATTCATCACCACAAATTTATATGAATTTGAATTAGAGCTTCCTTATCGCATGAATTTAAATTAGAGCTTCCTGATGATAATGAATTTGAATTAGAGCTTCCTTATCGCATGAATTTAAATTAGAGCTTCCTGATGATAATGAATTTGAATTAGAGCTTCCTTATCGCATGAATTTAAATTAGAGCTTCCTGATGATAATGAATTTGAATTAGAGCTTCCTTATCGCATGAATTTGAATTAGAGCTTCCTGATGATAATGAATTTGAATTAGAGCTCCCTCATCAACTGAAATTAGCATACAACCATTAAATTTAAATGAATTTAACATGTTAAATGTTGTACAACTTTACTATAATTCTCAGAAATATTGCACTAGAGAAGTTTACAATGAATGATTAACACTTCCAGCTATTATAGAAAGCGTTGGAAGAAGTTGAAGAATTTAAACATATTAAAGATAAACTAAGTGATGATTCGCAAGATCGGCTATGTGATTTTTTAATTCGTAAAATGCGTGCAATTTTGGAAGAGGTTTTTATGCTTGAATTTATGTTTAAAAATTCAAACTTTTTCTAGACTGTATAATTAAATTAAGGTTTTAATGCTATTTTATACAAATCAATTTCTATAAGTGCCTAATTTCTTATGTTAAGACTATAAGTTCGTTCTCGGAAAGGAAAAAAAAGAGAACTTAGCATTCTCGATTTTTTGTTATTGTGGCAAATAATGAATTACAAATTGAAATTATAGTCTACGCAACGTAGATGGTTGGTATATGGAGTAATTTATAATAAAATTTGGAAAGTAAGCGGATTAGAGAATTTACTAGAAAAAGGTGGTGGTGATATCAGGACACAACAGATGCTTCGTATCACTGCACAAGGACCGTTCACACCGATTACCATTCTTGCTTATATGGTATGTTAATGATGGTGAAGCGAAGAGAAAAAGAAACAATAGTATTATTACATATTATATTTTCTAATTATGAGTAATTGCATAATACATATATGATATTATTATAACTCAGATTGAAATTGATATAAAATTGGAACAAATGAATATACAATCGATACCAACGCCAACACCATTCAAGAATAAAAGTAAGATACGTGAAGAATCTCCAACACAGTCTATTTCAAGGTAACTGAAAAATTTCCTCTTGAAATATTTGCCAGATAGCATCATCAACGTTTCTAGGAAAGTATGAAAAATAACTTCAAATTTCCAATTTATAAATATTTTTTTTTCGCAGCTCTACAAAGAAACTAAACTGAATAAATTAAGAAATATAACGTAAGCGAAAATATTTATGAATTATATTTAATGTTAATCAATACAATTTTTAAAGAACATTTGAAAAGACGCCTCACATGAAAGAGAAACTTTCACCTGTAACACCAACATCTGTTAGTTTACTGATTTTTTCTATTGTTTTTAAATAATTTAAGTGCAACAACAGTTGAAAGTTCTCACGAGCACGCCATCGTAAGTGAAGTGTAGATTTTAAATGGAGGCTTATTTTGAATTGAACATTGCTTTAAGATTTCTAAGCCATAGAAGAAATAAAAGTTAAGTCTAAATTTGGAAATATTCAAAGACGTCTGGCATGAACAGCTTTAAATGCCTTTGTATTAAGCCGAATTATCTTACGACATTGCATACAATGAGTACTATACCATCAGAAAAATTACCGACAGTGTTGGATTCACGGAGCAGCAAAAAAGACACTGGTCTTAGTCCCACGAATACTAAGCAGGTAGATATTTCTCATGACTACTTTCGATATATGTACGATTCTAAAAGTAATCCTCAACGTTGCATTTCTACAAGAAAATGAAAGGAATCTCATAGCATAATTCATATAGTACTCCTTAGTGTACAAAATTCGAATAATTGAATTACGCTTCTTCAGAGAAGGACGCAGTCTGCGTCATATAATAAAAGAGGCTCAGTCAGACAAATGCGGAAATTTTCAACTAGAAACAGGCAGAGAACATTAAGTGATACGGATGCTCGTTCAAGATTTCGCAGCCAACTCGGAAGCGAAAAATTACGAACCGAACACACACAAAACGAATTGTAATGTGCTTGTGGGGTCATTAGTCTAAATCTCACTGTGAAAATCTTTACTCCTTCTTAGATTCCTTAAATAATGCCAACTGCAATGTTCATAAGTCATTACAGTGCAATCACAACCTTAGATTTTAGTCTAATCCCAACTTTAAACCCAAACTGAAATCCCCAATCCCACTGCATGTGTCCTCTTCGACAGATATCCTATTTTATTACAATCCAACTTGATATTGTCTTAATATATTTCACATTGACATTGTTTTATACATTTTTGTCATTTTATTTATTAAAATCCAATTGTATTCTACATTAAAATGCCAACAATATAAAATTTGGCTCAAAAATGACGCTCGTGAATTACATCCGGATGTCCATAATTCATATGTAGTCCAATATCCCAAATTACAATATCACTGTTCAAAAAGGAACTTACATTATTATTGCTAATGTGTATCTAACTTCATAATGAGAGTGACTGCATAGAAAGAGTTAATAGCAAATGCTAAGCAATCAAGAGAACTTAAATTTGCGACGAAAATAAACATCAGGAGATAGAAACATAACTGTACTTTACACAGTTTGATAATCACAAATACAACTATCGGTCGACAACGATTTCCATAATTTCAAACATTAATACGAGCCATTTCAATATTTAAGTTAATAAAGAATTCATACAGTTCTCAAGTTTATTTCAATTGTTTCGAAATATAAAACAAAAAAATCAGTACGGATACGCTGAACTATACTAATCATGTGAAAAATCTGAGCATACCGAAGAATAACTAAGTCATTCATTCTGCATATCAAAATTCCACTTGAACCGTTTTGTTAAGAAATTCTTAAAATTTCCAGCCCTTTCCTTTAATGCAGCATCTATCGATTCAGAGTCTGCAAATAAATTCGAAAAGTTTAGAATAATTTTTGGTCATCCACAAATGTATAATAAGTCAATCTTCATCAATTTGTCTACTTTATTCATGAACAAATCTAAAGGAATCTTCATTAAACCACCGGGAGTTCCGGTCGTTTACTCCTTAGAATCGCATCACTAAATGTATCCTTCGCTTAGTCACAACACAACATAAGCCTCTTGAATAAATTTACGAATTCCCTAGTCTTCTATGATGTATCCATTATTAAGTTGCCCGCTATTCAGAACTGATCTTATAATTTTCAATATTTTATCCTTTAACATTAGTCTTTTTGCTTGCAAGAAGTATCCAATCAAATTTTGCAGAAGTTTTCAAATCTTTAATTCAGAAGTCGAACAACGTAAAATGATATGAATATAAAGCGTCAATTTACTTACCATTTATGTTTCCGAAAAGTCTACTAAGTGTAGTTGTTAGAAAATTATCTCGCGAAACAATATCGACAAAGAAGTCTTCGGGACATTCTCTTAATTGAAAATGAAGTACCGGTATTAATGCCATGTACAACTCCTTACGCTCTATGAGTTCCTTTGTGCAGCTGCACAACAAATGAATCAATCGTTTCCACTGTTCAAAACCCTCATAAACCTATAATCAGTATGTAATAAAAACAGATGAAACGTTTGAAAATAATTATTCAGTTTCTGGATAAGATACGTTATTACCTGTCCCATCAGAAAGCATACAAATGCAAACTGCAACTCTCCAAGAAATTCAGACCACTCTCCATTGAGATCGACAAGAATTTTGTCTAACTGCGAACTCCGATCCAATGCATTCTCTTCATTAGTTGAAATAGCCTAAAACAGGAGGTTCTTAGCTTTCTGAATTTCCACCTGCCCCATGATTTCTTATGTGGGCTTCATAAAATTTTTCCCCTGTTAAAACAAATTAGATCGAAATTGAAAGAATCGTTAAATAGAAGAGATCGAATATAAAGAACTTTATCGAAAATCTAAAGAAAATCAAGTAAAGCCAGGTAAACAAAGCAAATGATTCTATTTTTGTAGCTTCTCTATCAACATCATCAGAAAAACAAAAAAAGAGCTATGAAATAACTAACAATAAAGAGTTGTACCTACCACAGAATGCAGAGGAAGTTCGGTGAAACGTATTTGAAAACCTTCTCTAATTCTCATAATAGGAAGACCTTCTTCATCCACAAATCGTATTCTGGTTGGATGATCACGATCAACACAAGATGACGGATGTCCATGAACCTAAAAACTGCCATTTTTCTAGTAGTGGCTCTTGTGAAGAGTGTTTCCACACACAATTATAACAATCCATTTAAATACGAAGTCTAATTATATAATTATATAATCCTTTCTCACATTTTAACTATTCGCATTCATTAACAATTCATAATTAGATAAATGCGGATAATGCTTCAACAAAGTTCATTTGAGAGAACAAACAAACATTGGGCAGCACTAGTAATACATATTTTACATTCCAAATAATGAAAATATTAATAAGCAAAAAGTTGGCGCAGATCGTACAATTGAATAAATAGAAATCAGGTTGGAAAAAACCACGTTAAAGACTAACAGACACATGAAAGATATTATTAGGGCTTCAATAGAATTTTGGGAAATGATGAGGAAAGTTTCTTAAAGATAAATCATACGGAATTGAAAAACAATTAAAAAAATGGACTAACGCCCTCTTTTTCCATTATTTCAGTTTCCAAAGTAACCAATTCTGCCTGACCTGTTATACGACTATATTGATTCTCCGGTCGCAATCTTTCCACCGTTTTTTCTGTAAAATTAAAATATGTTAATAGAGGTCAGATAAAAATTACTTAGATATCATCCAGAAACATAGGAAAATATGAAATGTCCTATAAGATACAAATATTGACGACTTCAGCATGCAAGTAAACAAATACACAAACCTGTAATATGATAGCTGAGGGAAAACCAACTTCGATATGTTTCGAAAGGATACGGTGCTAAGCCGTCATCCATTGCTTTCAAGTTTGAACGTATCCTTTCTATCTAAAATTAAAAAAAAAATCAAATTCTGAGATATATCTGAATGAAGTTAAATATACCTCATGATTTGAAAATAGATTGAGACATTAGTCTTGTCCACTACAGCATGCACTCAAAACATAAAAAAAAATGAACCTGAGAAAAATGAAAGAGAATTTCCAAATCACTTTGACTTTACTCAAATACGTCACATGGTTAGTGAAAGGAAATTGAATATAATTAAAGAAAGCTTCAAGAATTTCACACCTACTTATAAGATACGCTGATTTTTCCTTTTTACAAAAAAATATAGTACTACAACTAAGATATTTCCAGTAATATCACTAAAACATTGTTATCAAAACTGTTCAGTTATTCAATGTTACGCATCTTACATGGCTGTGCAACATTAGGTCAAACACAGTTATAAATGGATCTCCTATATTATTACACTCATGAGTTACTTATGTTGATCAGCTCCTAAATTCTTACGCAATTAATGATTACCTCATCTGCAGAACATGGCTCAATTATCATATCTTCACGTATCGGATCCCATTTACGTAGCAAAATTTCCTTTTCCTTAAAATGGTGGAAAAATCCAATGCGTGGTGCTGTCTTGACGCTGAAGAAAATGAAATGAATGCCCGGAGGAATCATTTTCAAACCGAGAAATTTCGGCCCTACATGCCATGACTTGTAATCGATGCCGAATTCTGTTGTTTGAGGTACATTGAGGAAAACCTGCAAATTTTCATGCTTAAATCCACTTATCACTGGTTTTTATTGTTATGAACAGGTAAGTTTGTGAAGGTAATTGTAATACGCATTAAATGTACGGGTCAAGAACTACTGGCAACAACATATGCACACCTGCCATATTAAAATTCGGTATAAAAACAAACAAATAAATTTTCGTCAGCATTAAAGAAGATATTAAAACTTTTCAACGCTAAAAAATATTTATTGGTTATCTTCTCTGGGTGACTCTTATAATCATTATTAAACGATTATGAGATTCATTCAATGAAGGAAACCAACAAACATGACTGAATAAATTCTTATCACACGCTCTTACGGCAAATAAACAATTAACATTTTTACAGAACTAAACGATCCATCTCGATTAAGTATGATTAATTAAGCCGAAATGAATTCAATCAGAATATCACCTACCATGAATGCACCATTTTCGTATAGATGACTGGCAAGATCTAGCGGCATATCCGATGCAGATGTTGTACATATAGACGCTGCAACGGATACGGCGTCTGCATTGTTGTTTATCATGAGGAATTAAGCATATTCTGAAGATACAGGATCCAATCTACAAAACATGAATTAATCGCCTTAAAAAACGTTACTCTAAATACCATTTGCTTTACTGCCTTCTTACAGTCCCAGCACCACATTTTTCCATGATGTGCCATTTTCTAAAGTAACAAGAGTAACCCCTTCCCTCACCTCATTAAAACCTGAAATCGGGATCATACTTAAATAACGCGGCCCTCGAATGAAATGCTTGTAATTATTTGTGATATTCCGGATTTTATGGTCATAGTTGTATTTCACGTTGTCATTTCTCATCATGCAAATTTAATTCATGATATGACAATCATCATATCATTCATAACCAAGGAACTATGTCTGATTCCTGAGTTGATTTTCATATAACACGCACTCATAAAATAGTATTTCAACACATAAACTGATAAAAATTTGCATGTTAATAAAAATTTAATATAAATATTTCAAAGAATACTGCGGCAATCATTATTGCACTCGTCATGCGCTGTTATTCTCTTTTATCGGTATTTCTTGTGAGCGCTTTTGTCATTAATATCACTGTAGCTAAGCGGCCATTCAATTCCGTAAGTTTTTTTGATCTCTTCGAAGGATCATCAGTTATACTATTTTACGACCGGAATAAACTATAAAAAGATGAAGTGGGTGAGTCATCCAATCCTGAAACACAATATTTATGTTTTCTTATAGTATTTTCTTGAATTTTAGTTAGCAGCTTGTAAGAATATTTTACTATTTCTTTCATTCCCAATATGAACTATTTCGCCTTCAAATAACAATAACTTTTTTTGATAAGAAGATAGCTATCATTATCACTATCACTTCCAGCACACATCCCGCAATTTACCGTTTAAAAATGGCTTCAACACCACTCCAAATAATAACAAAAAGAACATATACACATACATACACACATACGATACGCGCATATTCACACACATATACACACATATATATATATATATATACACACACACACACACATACACACACACCATTCCCAGTACCATTAAATGTATGAATTAAATGTGAAATTAGATTGCTAATTATCATTTCACGCTAAAATGGTTTCATTCGAGACTTCTTGATGAACTTAGCTTCAAAAATTAATTGCAGTGATGTAAACACAATTTAACCAAACTCACATACACGTGCATACTGTTAACGCCACACGCGTGCATTTCACGTAAAATAAGAAAACCGAGTTGATGACCATCATTTTCGGTGTTGTTGAGATATTCTGATAGATATACCAGATGCATTCATTATTGAAATAAAATGTTTTCATGAAGCCGTATTTGATTAGATCAATGTCTCTCTTCTAACGATCTAAAAATTGAATTAGATCAATTCATCTTGCTCATCGATATTTACATTTTTTAATAGCATTGCATCCATTTTAATTAGAATTCTTGATAGATTAGGAAAGAGAGGAACGACTATAAAGTGTTCCGTCATATTCCCTTTTCTTATCAAATTGTTACCTTATCAATAATTTTCTGGATACTTTTATCACTGATCATATTCTCTTCCTCCTATAATACGTGTAAAGTGAATCAGTTAATTATATTAACAAATCCAACATTAATATTATTACAGCGAGCATATTCAGAAGTTGATGAAAAAGGATACATGAAAATATCTGTAGCAGATTTAATTAAACCAGGTGAACATATTCGGTTTCTTGCTCGTCGTTTTCCGGACACTAAAGCAGACGCGTAAGTCTTAAATTATAAACCATATTTGTTTGAGTTTGTAGTAACCATTATCAGTTAAAGATTCGAAAACAAACAATCTTAAACTAATTTATAACTCTTTACAGGATTAATATATCGAAATAATCAATCAAACATTAGGGATGACTATCATTTCAATCCATAATTGAAATTTATTTATGATAATAATCATTTTAACTTTAACTTTATTCTTATCACTCTTATCATATGTTTCATTAAATTGAAAAAAATAAATCAAAGTAAGAAAAATGGAATTATTAAGTAACTAATGATTGATATAGCCAACTTCTGACAAATAATCCTAGGATTGACTGCTTTCTGAATAAAGAGTATCCTAGCTTCTGAATAAACAGAATCCTATCTTCTGAATAAAGAGAATCCTAGCTTCTGAATAAAGATCAGCTTCTGATCAACCTATTTACATTGAAATGAAGATACTACTCATTCTACTCAAATTTCCTCTCTGATTCAACAATATTTCAAGTCATCATATTATTTCATTTTATCTAATATCTTATTCATTTTCTACAGTTTTATTTCTATAGAAGAATGCATGAAATATTCTAAAACAAAATTTCGATCAATATTTTTTGTGTATTCTTTATAATTGTAATTAATTTGAAGAATTATTCCATTGTATCATTTCTATATCATTTATTCAATCCTATCTAATATTATGAATATATTTCAATCCTATAAAGTTAATGAAATTGCTAACAAACATAACGATGTAGTAAATTATCAAATATAAAAAGCATAAAATTTGAATTGTGTAATAATTATTAAGTATTAAATTTGAATTTTTATTAAAAATTTTTGAATTTAAATTGAAAAAAAAATTAATACAAATTTTAAAATTAAATGAATAATTTGTATTTTAGGTTTGATATCATTCAAATGGGATTTATATATTCGAAAAGTGATTTATTTTTATCACATGGACGTGGTAATTTTTCACCCAAATATCCATTTTGGTTTGATCGTAAGAATTATGTGGTATATATGCGAATTGTTCATTGGATATATGAAAAAAAGTTTGTAGTAACCAGGAAAATTTACCTGAAACATTCTATTGTGACATTTGGCTTTGTAATTTTTTATTGATCATTTCTTTATTTAATTATTTGCTGAGATATTTTCACATAATAATAGCATATTAATAACAAATAATGATCTTTTACGATATTATTATGATTATTATCACTGAATCAATTATTTCATTTTATCAATGATAATAATTAATGATAATGATTATAGTATAAATCATTTGGCGTATTTCAAAAGCCAGAACAATTTTTTTATACAAATGAAGGACATTATACGGATTTAGTATTTGCAACAGGATATGCTAATTATTTTGTTGATCATTCTCATTATTTCTATGTTCAAGGAGAAAAGAAGTTTGTATATGATGTAAGCATTTCTATTATTATAATATATAATTAATTAGTTCCAATTAAATTTTCTTTTCTCTTAATCTCATTAATACAGTAGCATTTTCTCGCATATTATTTTGTATAATTGTCTATTTTCTTTCTAATGCAAACAATTTCAATTTTCTTTATGTTTACACTAATTCAAATTTTATTTATCTCTTTGTTTTAGCATCTTAGAACTCCACCGGATGAATTCTCTGGTAAGGAAGTAATTCCTGAAGAAGTAAAAGGCGGACCAATAGTTTTTATTTGCAATTGTGTTGAAGCATATCGAAGTTATTTGGGTAAATCAACTTCGTTTCATGGTGACACGGATCAATTGATGTTGTTATCAATGGGCTCACCAATGCCATATCGTGCAACATTTGGCTTTGGTGGTTTTTATTTAAGTAAATTTTTTCATAATATTATTTAGTTCATTTCTTCAGGATATAATAACGTACCTGTTAATTAATTGCAAAGAAAAGTTAGAAATTTATTTCTTAAAGATTTAAAAATAAATGTTAGGAATGATTTTGTTTTGCAATGCTTCATAAATAATATCTTCATAAATAATCATTATAAATCTATTTATTCTTTTTTTTTTAAAATCGATTAACTTTTGATAGTTCAAATTTGTCAGCATTGTTTTTTATTTAATATTCTTAAGTTTTATCAGGAATGAATTTTATCATCAATTGTTTAGTTGAAGTTCAATTGTTTAGTTGAATTAATGATTTAAAACTGATGAAAATTGATAAATAATTGATGAACTTAATCATTTAACTGTAGAAGAGAATAGAATTTCTGCTAACTTATCTTTACTTCCCTCAGTTAAGGTTTAAAGCTTATTTTTACTTTCCTCAGTAAAGGTTTAAAGCTTATCTTTACTTTCCTCAGTAAAGGTTTAAAGCTTATCTTTACTTTCCTCAGTAAAGGTTTAAAGTTTATCTTTACTTTTCTCAGTTAAGGTTTAAAGCTTATCTTAACTTTTCTCAGTTAAGTTTTAATAGAATTTCTGCTAACTGATCTTTACTTTCCTCAATTAAGGCCTCATTTTTAAAACATCTGCTAATTTATCTTTACTTTCCTCAATTATGGCCTCATTTTTAAAACAATTATTCAAACAATTTTTATTACTTTCAAAATTTGTTCAATAATTGTAATTTTTATTTCTCTGTTAAAAGAAAGATAAAAGAAAAAAGATTATAATATACTCATTTTCATCATAAATATTTCAAATATTCTATATCCAACTTTTTCTGATATCTAACTAACATTAATCATACTTATTGTTTTTAGCTCAACGAGCATATTTTGCTGGTTTCTTCACCAATACAATCATTGCTGAAATCAAAACCATTTCTAGTACATATGTATTTTATTTGCATAATAATAGTGTACGTAAATATATTAGGCCATTTCTTCCTCTTTTTTAATAATTCTCAAAATGTTATACTATCATATTTCTTATTAAATTTTCTAGGTGGACTAATCATCTTAAAATAATAATAACCATAAAATTCATAATAAAATATTATATTATAAAGAATGAAATTAATGCTGACAGATTTACACATTTTCCTTAAAACTTATCATTTATACTTTAAAAAACTCTTATATAAAAATTTGTTTTAATTAAGTTCGTTTTTTGCATAAATTAAATGTATGTTTTAACGAATGTTAAACTTGAAAATATCATATTTACCTGCCTAATTATTTAATTTAAATTTATTCTTCTATCCCATCTATTAATTATAAATTGATTATTAATGAAATTTAATAAAGTATGAAAAAATTAAGCAAATGCTAAATATTTATTGAAAATGAATGGCCATATATTTGTTTTTTTCTCTTTTTCTTTTCTTTTATAATTTATTAAATGTATAAAAATTGAAATACTTAAATACTTAAAAGTTTAAATTAAAGATTATTGCATTATCGTTTAGGTAGTATTTAACAATACTACGTTAAAAATTGAAAAAGGTCTCTATACAAGCGATATGTTCGAACAAATTGGTAGTATATCATTTATAAATGCAGGCGAAACATTAGCAGTTTGTTATTTATCATTATCATACTTTTCTTTTT